CCATTCTACATAGTATGCCTAAGCCTTAGGGCAGATTATAAGGGATATAAGATGTACGTGAAGAACAGTGTGTAAGTATTATTACTTTAAATGCTGTTAATATCATTAAGAAAAATAAAAAATATTCACAAGGAGGAGCAGCATGAAGGGACATGTCAGACGCCTAATTTTTGTATCAAAATGAGCTTATGGTGGATTATTTCTGAGTAATAAAAATTTTAAACACGTTAAGTCACGGAGACAATTCAGACATTATTATAACCATCTTCGGCACTGGTAATAGACAGACAGATAGAAAGACAGAGACAAAAAGCAGACAGTGGCATATGAAAAATATTGTATGAATTATCTTAACCCTTTCAGTAACTAGGTATTATCTCTCCACTATTGCAGGAAATGTTGAAATATTGATTCTGATTCAAATGACCTAGGGTGTAAGCTGGTATTGCCAAGCCAAACCTTGCTCACACCTCTGTCACTCCAAGTGTTAATTTGGCAAGGAAGTTATGTCCTTGATTTCTTAACACAAGTCACCATGACATTTGTACATTTTATGATTGTGTTAAAGAGGAACTGTCACTTTCAAAGAAATGCCAGTTCCTTGTTCCTTCACACCATTGAATGCTAATTCAGCATTTACTGTGTCTTTAAGAAAACCATTCGGCCTGCTTTATATGTATAAGAGCAAAAAAAAAAAGTTATTGTGTGTAAAGTTTAAATCCCTTTCAATGCAAACAAAATGCAATACTGCTTCCTCCTTGGAAACATTACAAAATAAACATTTATATTAAAATCTAATTCAAATGAAATCACCATTTGGAGTTTAACACTAAATCTCTATTTGTGAACACAATGAATATTGGTGGATCTCAACCTGTCAGCTTGAATTGATTTAATAATTAATTATTCATCAGGCCTTCTTTTAAAAGTCAATTGACAAGTCATTTTCCTGTACGCTCGCACCTCCCACGCCTCCCCGATCTGTCAGTCCCTGCATTAGCTCCCAGTTAGATATAGGGCCCAATTTAAAATTCTGGAGCTTGCTTACAAGTCCCTACATAATGCTGCTCCAACCTACCTATCCTCCCTAATACGCAAGTATGTCCCATCAAGACCTACGTATATCCTCTGTCCGTACTCCTACATCTGATGCTCATCTCCAAGACTTCTCCAGGGCTGCACCTCTTCTGTGGAACTCTTTTCCCTTCTACGTAAGAATTTCACCCAGTCGCCACTCATTCAAAAAAACCTTTAAAACTCTCTTCTTCAAGAAAGCATATCAATTATGCTTTTCCTGTACGTCCAGTTGTCTGGTTACAATTACATGTCTGTTAGTCCACCCATTGTACAGCGCTACAGAATCTGATGGTGCTATTTAAATAATAAAATAATAATAATATCATCTGTACATTGTCTGATATTCACAGAGCCAGGAAATTGACAGATGACAAGGAGTTGCAAATAATTTTACGCTAAAAAAAAAGTCAAATTGAACAACTTGTGTTGTTTTAAAGAATATTTCCAATTGTATTTCCAATTGTAAAATGCCCATAATTCCTTTTTTAGGGATTAGTATTTAGCCATTCTACTCTGTAACAGCTTCCAGTTTAGTATCGGATGAATATGACATCCTGGCTATTATGATATTACTGTATGTAAAACAAAAAGAAAGTAAGTGAGTAACAGTTCAAATCTCCCTGATTGCAGGAAAATACAATATTACTTCCTGAAAATAAATAAACAAAAACAATTTACGAATTAAAAATAAGTTGTGTATTAAATGGAAGCTATGATTGATATGAATCAATCAGTATGCGGCAAATGATATCATAATTTAATAATATGGCTATATTTGGCAGTACCCTGATAGAAGCATATTCCTGCCATTTGATTCAGAGATCAAGTGAGAAAAAGAAGCCTTCAATCATTTTTTCCCATTAATTCTTTTTTTGGTGCTAATGGCGGAATTCAGAATCACGACCCAAGCCGAATGTGGTCTGTGATTCGGATACATTTTGGCTCCGAGTGATTGTCCCAAACTCGTCCAAATTGCAGTGCGGCCTAGAACTGCAAGCGTATTGTGGAGTCTTCTTGCACATAGCCCCCATGAAGCCCATTCAATCCTAATACTGCTGGGGACATTTGGCCATACACCCTGAATTTTTACTAGATTCCATCTCACAGCCCAAGTTTTAGTAATAGGAAATTGCTGGAGCTCTGTTTTTTTAACCCTTCACCCACTTACAACGGGTGGATTCTGCACCAAATCATTACATATTAAAAAAATGTATTCCCCATTCCTAAAAGGATTAGGTTGGGATGCAATGCACAGTGGTGATGTCTCTTACTTCTTTTTAAAAATAAAATAAATAGCAAGGAGCAAGTTCGGCGCGCCTTCCTTATAACTAAACAACTTTAAAAATATAACAAATTGCACAGATGAATTTCACCCATTAAGCATTTAGATTTATTACAATTTTCCACTAAATAGTTTAATGATTTGAACATTCCTCTTCCGGACAAATGGAAGAATCAGCCTAAATTCAGATCAAAAACCTGATGCACAAGTCTAGTGTTAATTGTGGGTATTATAATATGTATATATTTGCTACTTTTCCCACTTATTTTAGCCTTCTTTGTTTATTCTGAATTCACTTTAATTCATATTTAGTGATTAAACTCCTACTTTATTAAAACAGTGCGATTTTAAAAATTGCACAGTAAAAAAATGACTTTAAAAGTAGCCAGGTCCATTATATTGCAATGTATAGTGGTGTGTATCATTACAATGCGCAACATACAGCAATGGTGTCTCATGCTGTAATCCTACATCATTAAATTAGGATTAGGAGTGGGTTAGGGTGTTTAGCGAGATGCCCCAAACCTTAATCCTCCTTAACCACTAGCTTCATAAATGTAACCTCAAACCACTCCCCCAGCCCTAAGAAATGGCAGAATTTACGATGGCACCAATGCTAATCACCCCCTCTTCCCTTCTACTCTCCCAGCTGATGTACGATGGTTAATACAGATTCACAGCATCACATTACGGTTTATCCGCTAAACAGTTTTACAAAGAATTATCTATCTCAGCTATATTCACATCATGTATATTTAATCCTTAATTTTGCAATTCAGTTTTCAATTTATATCAAATCACTGTTTAGTGAATAAACCCCTGTGTGATTCCAAAGATGTGTCATTATGAATTTAACCTAAAGGCTTTATAATAACGTGTTGTGTTTCAGACACATATACTGCAGCAGTCATTGCAGACAAAGCTTTAGAATTTTTATTAAAAATTAAGCAATGCTATGAAATCCAAATCACTATCTCTCAATAAGATTTCTTTTTGTACACCATCCACAAAAAAAATCATGATTAATGGAAGAAACGTTGATTGATTGTTAGACGAGGGAAAGTAAGTCTGATTGTATCTACAGATCAAGTCCAAGGTGGCCAACAGTGGGAGAAAGTAGAAGGAGGAGTAGTTAAAAAAATATATATATATATTTGTGTATAATATATTATAAAAATATTTAAATACAGATTTATTTTTTCATTGCTTCTTCTTTTCCAGATTAGTTACTTTTTCTCACTTGATCTGTGAACCAAATGCCATGAAAATGTGGCCATCAGTTTACTGAAAAAAAAAATGTAATATTTAAATTTTGCAGTACACTGATTGGTCAATTTTTGCACCCTTTTTTACTTAGGGCAAATCATTTTTCCCGAAATGATTGCATGGACAAAATGTGTCTGAATCGAAGCGCCATGTCCGAATTTTATTTTTCAGACAAGTTGATTGGATAAACCAATTTTTTGTTTTGCGCTATGCACAAGTGCACAAGTCTAGTGTCCACTAAGACTATTTCAAGATTTGGAGTGCAATATGTGCCATGAGATAAACTTGCAAAACATGTTTAATGGAGTAAATTAGCAACTGCTATCACTCCTAGGCAGAAAATGCATTTATATGGGTTCCATGAGAGCTAATTAAATTAAAGTATCCATGGTCTAATTATTTTAGGCGTTACTTACAGATTTCTCTGCAGTAAAATGTCTGAAGGTAATCGCCGTACGTACGTAGTACTAAAACTGTGCAGAGATCACGTGCAGAACAAGGGACTCAAACAGAGCTATTCAATGAAGTGGGAATTGTCAGAAATCCAAAATGAATTTCAAATTTTAGACCAGAAAAACCAGATTGGGAAAATTAGCATTTAAATCATCTTTCGTATGTTTTCAGATGTAATATTTTTGGGTAAAATCTGAAGTTCTCTCTGACATATTCATGAACTCCAGAGTCCAGACAACATAACATTTAGCGAATAACCCTGCAAGAAAATGTGCTATTCACTGTAACTATGTTAAAGCTAGTATTTCTTACATTGATTATTAACTCTCTCATGTCATGCTAACAATTCACTAGAAAATTTAGATCAAAGTTCAGAAGTTAAATAAAATCCTGCTATCAGGCTAAGTTTATATTTATATTTTATTTTAACTTAGCCTTATAGTTTGCAGGGTGTCTGTCAGTTAACAAAAAAAATAAAAAAAATAAAAAATCACTGTTTAATGAATGTTGCATTGTTATAGGGCGTTGCACCCCCTAGCTGTTGTTAGTGAGTGGACTAAAACTCCCATCACTTTCTGCCAGGCTTAAAAGAACATTGTGTATAAAAAGAAAAAACATATTTGGATTGCATAAAAGATAAATAGTAAGGGACAAAAACTACAAAAATGACAATGTGTAGTCTAGATAGATACTATCAAGCTCTAACACAATAGCCTTGGGTATATAATCATTTTAGCAAGCAAGGGTAAGAGGCTCCAATCTAAGAAAAATAAAGAAGGACAATAACAATGGGGCATCATTAAAGGCTTTGAGGGGTCACATAGTGTATGCAAATACTGTCCAAATCCACCCCCTGTTTACCTGTAAGGCGTGGCTACACGGATGGGGGCGTGTCCTTTTGACATATATTGAACAGACTACCCGAGACAGTAGCAGGAAGCAAGTTTAGCACTCATAGGAAAATCAAACTTCAGGGTGCCTTCTGGGACAGCCAGCTGGCTCTCAGGGGGCTCCATAGCACTCAGCCTGGGGAAGAGACCGCTAGCCCAGTCCAGATCCCACTGTAGATAAAGAGTTACATTTGTATCAGTTCCAGATTCCATTCGAACTTCTTACTAAAGAACCACCAGGTAAGCCTTGCTCTCACCTTGTCCAATGGTGACTTCTAACTGACAGATTGCACGGTGTGCTTTGACTTTGATGGGTAAATATCTGACTTTTCTCTGTGATTGGTATTGTTTGGATTTAATGTGGAGAATACACTCCAGTGTGCCTGGCACCAGTGATCACTTACCTTCAATGCATAATAATGTGGTGAATCATGTATATTAATGTTAGCAGCGGAGGTTCCTTGTTTTCGAATATTTGGTTCGTTCATAACAAAGGAAATAACAAATTATGAATAAACCAATTAAACAGTTCATTATGATGCGTAAAGATGTATTCATTGAGAAAACGTGGAGAAGTTTAGGGATCAGATGGGTACCTGTCTGTAGATTTATATTTCACCTGCGATCTGGTCAGATACTACCTGATGGATTCTCTAGAGGATGAGAAACAATCCACTATCTGGACCAAGGTTAGACTGACCCACTGCTATCCTGGCACTGTTTACCTGTAGGTGGCATTGAATGGGTTAAATCGGCAGCGGATTTTTAAAGATATACTACGGTCATAGGTTGTGCTTATGGTGTGAAAAGAGACAGGCATTCCATGTTGTAAACCGCTTAGTAAAATGAGTGGTCATTAGTTCACATTGGAGAGATTTATCAAAAATTATATTAAAAAAAATAAAAATGAACTGATAGAAAATTGGGGCGATATTTAAAGTTTAGCCACTAGCCTAACACACAAGTGGGATTTATCTTGCAGAGTTATCTGATCCTTTGGTGACTTATCGAACTTTGGCACAGTGTTGTGTTAGTGACAAGTTTATAACGCTCTCCTGTGTAATCTGCTACAAAGTGATTATTATTATTATTATTATTACATTGATTATTAATTAAATATGATCACATTGTGTTATTATGATAGGTACAGCTTAATTATAACTAGTATATACTACAGATCTCCTGAAATGAGAGAAAGGAATGCAGGGTATTTTTTTTTTTTTTTTTGTATCTCTTCTGATATGTTAGAATTTGTTTGTAAAATAAGTCACCGACATATACTAGAATGTTGTACAAATGGGAAACCACAAAGATCTGCGATATAGTGAGACACAAGCAGGGTTATTCACTAGGGCGAGAATTTAAAGTGACTTCAGAGGGAATTTTAAATGTAAGGCCAAGTAGTCGAATTGGAGCTTAGTTGACTTCATTTTCCATAAATTTTCCATTTAGGCTAATTTCACCTTAAATTTGAAATTCACTTTGAATTCTCATTTTAGCGTGTGGATTTTTATGTTTTTATTTCCTAGAGATCACCTAATAAATTACATGGTGGTATAGTTTTAGAGTAAAGTATTGTTATATAATTTCAAAACAGATTTGATGAGCAGTCTAACGATCAGATATGTAATTAAATGTACCGAATTAGACAGGTGGCGCTATTGAAACCCATGTTGGCACAATGCACGCTTCTCGAATTAAATTAACTTTTACTCTGTTTTAAATTCAAACATCAATTAGCAGTGATAGCATGTTTGCTGGGGTGGACTGCTTTAACTATGATGTCAAACTAGAATTACTGGCATAAACTAATAGAACATATTATATATATTTAAAATAATAAACACTATGCACAGACGTTATAAAGTATATGTTAAAGTGTCTGTAGTATTTGTGTACGTGTAGTATACCTGACCGGTGCAATCATCACTTTACTGCTTACAGTAAGGGGGGGTGAAGGGGATTACAATAAGTGCATTAGTTATATGTAAGTGTATTTTGGTTTTATAGTACTAACAACACAGGTGTAAGTAGCACATGGCAGTTTATACTATACTAGAGGGGCCATACAGTATGTACAGTAGTTATAATGTTTATGTGGTATTTATCGGTTTCTTGGATAGAATTAGCAGGTGTACTTAGTACCTCATAGTTTATAGTATACTAGTATAGTAGAGGGGCGATACAGTATGCACAGTAGTTATAATGTTTATGTGGTATGTATCCGTTTCTTGGATAGAATTAGAAGGTGTACTTAGTACCTTATAGTTTATACCAGGGATAGGCAACCTTTGGCACTCCAGATGTTGTGGACTACATCCCCCATAATGCTCTTACACACATAATGCTGGCAAAGCATCATGGGAGGTATAGTCCAAAACATCTGCAGTGACAAAGGTTGCCTATGCCTGGTTATACTATAGTAGAGGGGCGATACAGTATGTACAGTAGCCATAATGCTTATGTAGTATTGTTGGACATATCCCTTCAGTATGTATAGTTTACTTGGTGTGTACTTAGCTTTTTACATGTTACATAATAGTAGACGGGAAATATAGTATGTACACTAGCTATAATGTATATGCTGTATGGATGTGTTAGACCTTGGGGGGTACAGGTGCAGTTACAAGAGAGGTAGTGTAAGTGCAGTACGTATATCTGTGCATGTATATCTATTCTATCTATACATTTTGCAGATGTACTTGGCACTTTACATATTATATTAAGTAGAGACGATATACAGTACTGCAGTAGGTATTCAAAGGATTATATAGAGGAACACTATGTATCTGTATGCTAATGGGGATTATCTGAACCCCAGCTAAATAAAATATAACTGGCAGCGGGAGGTATACAATTATAAGGAGGAGAATTTAATCTATTACTTTTCCACTTGATTGTATCACAGCCCAAAAGCGCATTACATGTTCCAACAGAACCATCATACTTAAAGGTTTTAAGACACACCTCAACTACAGGTTCATGTATCCAATGTTCCTTCCAGGTCACGTGGTCTAACCCATCCTAGGCATTTAACACACCAAACTGCTTTGATCTGCTTTTTCCTTGTGTTGTTGTTGTTTTTTTTTTTTTAAATGTGAATGCTTAAACAATTAGCAGAATGTGTGTCAATTAGCAGAACTTCAAGTCTTGTTTTTGCCCCATCTGTTTGAAATGGCTCCCAGTTTCATGCATCATGAGATTTGATGGTGGAGGGAGAGGGAGGACAATCTGATGCTTTCAGACATAGGTAACCTCTACAATGACACTGTCTAAGCATGCCACGAAAGGCTTCGCCCAGCTGGCATGGTCCCATCACTAGGAGCTACATGATGAGGTTTGTGTCATATGTGTGTTAAGAGACAGATGTAAGTCCAATCACTTTATCTTGTCCAGGGTGTGTGTGGGTGAGGTCGCACTAGAAGTTGTCTGCCGGGAGCAGTCTTCAGGTTAATATGTTTTTAATCTATAGACTCTCTGGTATTTTTTGCCAGTGCAATATAGATTGTATCTACACTTACTTGAACGTGACCTTCTCATCTACAAAATTTCTGAATGTCAGGATCACTTTAAAGCAGAACTGTCACCCCCTTGAAAAAAAAAAATGAATATTTTGAAAAGATGGAATCTTTATGAAATACTCATTTTGACTTTGTTGGAATTTCACTGAAATTCGAACCCGGTCAAAAGATATACAGAGACAAAGTAGGGAATGAATAGGAGCAGACGGAGAAAGATGGCGGTGCCCACGAGGGACATGTTCAGGTAAGTATATCTCACCTTTACCTGCAAACCCCCTCAGGTCAGCAGACCCCCTGCAGCCAGTGGTGTATTCTGGTTTTGTGCTGCCCTAGGACTGACAAAACTGAGCCCTCCCCCTTCTAAATTTGACTTCCTGTTAAAAACCAACATGCTCTTTGCCTAACAGACACACGCCTTCACTGATGCATACACTGACATACACTCACTGACAGATACACAGTTATTGTTCCACACACTGTTTAACCAGCACACACTTTCACTGAAACATACACACTCACTGACAGACACGCACACTCACATTCACCGACAGACACATTAACTGACAAACGCATTCACTGACAGATACACATACACACTCACTGACAAGACACATACACACATTTACTGACAGACGCACACTCACTGACAGATGCACACTCACTCAGTGTCAAACAAACACTCGCTCACTGACAGACACACACTGACAAACACACATACACACTCACTGACAGACACATATACACTCAGTGTCAGAGACACACATTCGCTAACTGACCTAGACATTGACTGACAGATACACACTCTCAGTGACAGACATGCATACACACACTGACAGACATACACATTCACTAACAGTCACAGACATACTAACACTCACTAACAAACACACACACACTAACACACTCACCAACAGGCACACACAATAACACACACACTCACTAACAGATACACATACTCTCACTAACAGACACACACACTCTCACTATCAGACACACACACACACACACTCTCACTATCAGACACAAACTAACAGACACACACTAACACTCTCACTAACAGACACATGGAGTGAGTCATATTCCGGCTCCAGCATCACTGCGGTGCGTGCAAGGGAACTGAACAGTGAAGAGCTCAGAGTGCTTCCTTGCCGCTTGCCTCCCACATCAGCCAAGAGGGGGCCACCCGTCCAGCTCCTGGGCCCCCAGGACAAGAGGCTGGCAAAGCATTTGAAAGTGCTGCCCAAGGCAAATGCATTGCCAGCCTTGCGGTAAATACACCGCTGCCTGCAGCGACGTTACTGTCAGGGATCTTTGCAAATCCGGCAAATTCCCGAGATGGTGACAGTGCCACTGTAAGGGGCCTTTTATGCAAAGAGACTGACTCTAATTATAGAGCAAATAATACTATATAAGTAACTTGTATATTTTTTATTGCTCGCTAGATTTAATTAATTTGATACTGATATTTACTGAATAGACTAAACAAAATGTTTTACAATGTATTTGCATTAATTTTTGTTAATTTTCTTCCCTCTTGTGGATTACAGTTTCAATCTTGCTCAGCCAGTGTGTGATGGTGTTAGGGATTGCCTATGCTTGCTCATAACTTGAGATCGATTTATATGAAATCATGACAAAATGTTCAGGAAATACCCGTATAGCACATTTCTTTACACAGAGGGTGGGAGAGAGAGATTGTGGTAGCAGTTTACTTTGGCGTGATGAAATTGCCACAACACTGCTCCCATGACGCACATCTAAGGATACTCTATAGTACAATTTCCTTTAAAAACCACTACATACGTGTTTATCTTATAAAAACCTGATTTGCAGCAGTATTAATCACTGATAAGGCATTATGCATAGGGCCACTGTAAAGCAACCTTTGTTAATTCAGCTACTATGGAGTATAAATCTCTTAATGTAGGCTACTGTGCATGTTGCGCTAGATCTCATTCACTAACAGAAATACACCATGTGGAACCAAACCTGCAAAAATATTAGGACATAATCTGTGGATTATAATCACGATGTTCCCTTAGGGGCAGATGTGGCTTGGAGTATTACCAGCTCATTTGACCATCATTGCTTTATCGAATTTTATCTATTTTTTTCTCAACTGGCTAATTTGTTTTAATTAGTTCACTAAACAATGAGTTAAAAAAAAAAAAATCCCATCATTATTTTGGCATATTGTTTGAGACTCCGTTGAATTGTTACCTCACTAAAGCTCATAGTGTTTTAGACCTGTGCACAAATCGTTTCTGCCTGTGACGAACAAATAGTACTCCTGGTAACGCCCCAAATGAATTGATCCGTTCACGTAAATTCCGGACGGATCGATTAGTTCGGGTATAGATTAACAGGAATTTGATTTGTTTGTCGCAAGTGAAAAGGGTTTACTGCTTATCGACTAAATCTCTAACCCAAGTACTGTGATTGCAACCCCCTTTGCCACACCGGCTGCCATGGACTACAATTCCCATGATTCTTATACAACAGAGTATGAAATGAAAGGCTGGCTAAGCATCTTAGGAAATATAATTCACAAACGTGTAAAGATCAGCCATAAATGATCAAGGTGATTAGTTATGTCTGTAGTTATTAGACATGCTCGCTGATATTTCTCTCTGAATTGTGACCTGTTAACTCTTTAAAAGGCTTCTAGTGGGAGCTGCCTGCTTTAATGTGTTATGGCCAAACCATTTATCACTGACAAATCAGTGGTTTTCTCTGAATCATTTATAGAATCTTACATCATCTGATGTAAATAATAGTGATGCATTATTTTGTTTTGAAAGAACGCCCAAAAAGAACTCTTTGCCTTCCTGCTTCCATTAATTGCACACAATTATATGAACTGGAGTAATAGTAGACAGGCTGGTTTTTCATCCTGTAATATCTTGGGTGAGTTTTGATTTAAGATGCTGCATCATACCTAGTCATTATTATGTGCATCTGGATCTGTAATCTTTTATATGATAATTTTATAACACGCAAAAAAATCTTCAAACCTTCAGATCATCCTCTCTGTAAGATGATCAAAACGCCAATTAAACTGTCAGAATGTTTGAGAAATACTCACAATAAAATTAGCTTAGGAATATAATGAATACATAATTATGGAAATGATAAATGTCTTTTTTATCCTGTTTGCACTAAAGAAACAAAACAAAAACGTAAGCTTAAAAGGGTTGGCATAGGTGTAACTAAGTGTCTAATTTAAGAATGTATGCCTGATTTCACTTTTTATTTAGACCAGGCTTCCCCAAACTCCGGCCCTCCAGATGTTGCTGAACTACAACTCCCTTTAATTCTATGAATGAAATAGATAGGCTGAGAATCATGGGAGTTGTAGTTCAGCAACATCTGGAGGCCCGGAGTTTGGGGAAGCCTGATTTAGACCGATAGCTTTAAGTGACTTTAAACTATATTTCTCCCAAGGTTCAGTCAGTATTATTCCATATCACAATACCACCAACCCTCCAACCACACAGACACACTCACTCTGAGCCAGCCACAACAATTCCACAAAAGTAGAAAAAAAAACAGAATGGGTCTGCCACTGTTTAAAGTGATAGAGCACTCCTTAAGTGACGTATTATTTTTTTCTTCTTTCAGGGGTTGTTAGCGGTTTTAACAAAACTACAGGATTCTAAAAACCTTGGTTTTAAGTACCATATTTAATTTATTCAAAATCCGGTGACACGCATATACACACACACTTAGACACATAGATGCTCAGTCAGCCTGATGTCCTATTCAATAAAATGTCAGACATCACACACACTTGCAGGTTTGTTTGCTAAATTGGGAATAGTCGTTACTTTGACAAGGAATTTTGTGCTTAAAATAGTCAAGCTGGCTGTTGGGAAAAATAGCAAAGTTGGGGATTTTAAGTTTTATGTAAAATGTTACATTTCCTGGTAAATTCCCATCCTCTACCAGTTTAGTGAAAAACCCGAAACAATTTTTATTTTATAATATCTTTTTTTGTGGTATAATTACATACTGATCACCAGTTTTATATAAACAGTTTTATGCAAGATTACTGCTGTTACATATTACCTAACAGATGACCTGACACATCCCTGTGTCTCTTGTGTTATTTGTACAATGACTAAAGAAAGAGAATAGATCCTGGAAAATTAAAATGACATTTCATTTTAATGAGTCATATATTTGGATCCCACTTTGCTGAACACGCAGGTTATAAGGGGTAAATTCCACCATCACAGTCAAATATTAACATCAGGGAAGAGATCCACACCATAGTTATATACCGCCCCCTAGTGTCCAGGAAACAACTCTACCATCTCACCTGTGTCTGTATATTCCCTTTAACATGAAACCATACAAATCTACATTACTTCACATTTTTATCAATAAATATTTATTTAGGGTTTTGGAATAATTAAAAAAAAAATTCTCACAATCACAATTCCAAGTCAGCTATCTTTTTGGCTCAGTTATCTCGTGAAATTCACTTTGAATTCAATTTAAATATGCCTGACAATTCATACTTAACGAAAGCAAGAATTGCAAGATTTAACAGTTTCGGTTTCCTGCAAGATGTATTTTTTTTTATCATTTAACTTTTCCCCCATACATCATTGTATTTAGTAAATAGTTCTGTAAAGTAACTTGGTATTTCGAATTAAAGGACAATTGTCATCCTAAGCTATTTTTTTTTTTTAATGTAATGATCCTTTCATTAAGTATTGAAAGTATACAGATTTGTTTTTAAATGAAGTATATGTAAAAAACAAAAAAAATTAGAAAAGCTCTTCCCGATCTTTATTATATGACAAGATCCTTCAGCCATATACATGCACGTTAGGTCGGACATTTTTAGTCTTTTTTGTCTCCTCTGCTTCACTCCCTGCACAGAAGTAGGGAAGACCATGGAAGTATAATACATTTACAAATATGAGGCAATGGGAACCCTGATCTTCATATTGCATATAGTCTAAACATATATTGGAATGTGTTCCTATTTTGTAGGAAATCTGTTTTTTAATGATTTTTTTATGGAATAATAATTTTGCTTATAATATTTAAACTTTTAATGCCCCAAAGATGTATGAAATGCACTGATAAACTGAACAATACAACTTTTTATTTTGCTTATATTGTCAATGTTTTACAATATTCTACTTTGGAATCCTACATCTAATATGTGTTCTTGTCATCTTCCAGAAACCCCCATCAAAAGGCATGGATTGGGGATCTCTTTATGAAGTGATTGGAGGAGTTAACAAACATTCCACAAGTATTGGCAAAATATGGCTCTCTGTTCTCTTTATATTCCGCATTATGATACTGGTGGTGGCTGCTGAAAGTGTTTGGGGAGATGAACAATCTGATTTCACCTGCAACACCTTACAGCCTGGCTGCAAAAATGTCTGCTATGACCATCACTTCCCAGTCTCTCACATCAGGCTCTGGTGCCTTCAGCTTATTTTTGTTGCCACGCCAGCCCTTTTAGTAGCAATGCATGTGGCTTATATTAAACATGAAGAGAAAAGGAAGTTGCAAAGGAAAGGAAACTGTCAGGAAAAGGACCTGGAAGATATAAAGAATAGAAAAATGAGGATAGTTGGAACCCTGTGGTGGACCTACACCACGAGCATTCTCTTCAGAATCCTTTTTGAAGCTACTTTTATGTATTTATTCTACTTTTTGTACACTGGATTCCATATGCAGCGTCTTGTGAAGTGTGACAACTGGCCTTGTCCCAATGTGGTTGACTGTTTTATTTCCAGGCCCACCGAAAAGACAGTATTTACTATCTTCATGATCATAGTGTCTGGTATCTGCATGGTTCTGAATGTTGCGGAATTGTGCTATCTGATCATCCAGGCATTTATGAGAAGATCAAGGAAAAGGGCAAAGCAATTGAGAGCCATCATGGGAACTGAAGAAGAGCAAAATAAAATAAATGACAAGAAATTGGCTCACGCAGAATGAATTTTGTACCGTGGCTGCCATTCATCAAACTAGAATATTCTTCGAAGAATGTATTTTTTTTTTCATTTGTATAGTGTTGATTACACAGAAGGCACATTAACGACTGAAATGTGTAACCCTTCTGTGCCATGCTACTTTAGATTAAGATGAGCTTGATACCATTTGAGAGGTTCTACAGGAAGCAGTGGGGTTTTTCGAGATGTTCTCAAGAGTTTTCTCAAGAGGAATTATACACTGTAAAAGTATTTGGGGAACTTTTTATAAAATTTGTAGTGGGACTTACTTGACTGAGGTTTTTTTTATGAGTTATGTTTTATTATTTATGTTCTAGAAGATATTTTAATAGGGAAATGAATTGTTAAAACTTGTAATTAAAAATGTAGTGATATTATTTGAATGAAAACACTGCCAATTTTAGTATGGGTGGAACTGAGATATGTGCAATTAAATGGATAGGGGTTGAATATGACGTGTATGAAGTTACATGAAGTATTCACAATGTCTTCCTTAGATTATGTTATGAGAGAAATATACCTGGAGATGAACAATGTGCTGATGAATAAGCTCATGAGAAATGCATACATGTCAATTTTTTGTTTCACTTGAAGAGGAAGACAGATATTTTCCCCTACAGGGGCTGGACAAATGTTCTGATGGACAAACACATTTATTGTATTGACTTAAAGAAGTATATATCTTCATGGACAAAGGCTATGGCTGGTCAGATAAGAATTGTCATGTGTTGAAAATATTTGACCTTTTCAGGTTTGGGAAAAATATGTTTATAGGCAAAGACTCAGGCTGCTTATCTGCCAGTCGTCGTAGCCATCTGCCAAACCCAGAGCTTTCAGATCAAACTTGGCAAAATTTTCACGTGCACAGTTTTTAATCTCCAACGTTCCATGTATGATCAAATCTATGACTAAGTGGAGGCTCTCACATTTGTCAGAGATAATTATAGAGGATTTCGAATAAAACCACAGGAAATAACAAATACTAGCCAAAGCATGCAAAAGCCTCGATTTAATAAACTTTCAAAATGAATCGGCACTGCTAGAAAAATTTCCTAGTAATTTATCTACAGAAGTCACCATTAAAATCTATGGCCTCCATTTTTAATTGTTGGGTAAGCTTTTCGAAGGATTTAATATTTTTTTGATAACCTTTTTTTTATATTTACATATAAAAATATATCATACATGAAAAAAACATAATTATACCAAAAAAAATCAAAATATTGCAAAATTAAAATATGTTTTTATAATATTAAATAATTTTAAAAGTTTATCCAAAAATATTAAACTGAGGCCTACAGAATTTTTTTAAATAAATCATTTGGATATATAACAGTATTGAATCATGTAGAAACCTTCTTAAAATGAGGCCAAAGTGTTTGCACAAACCCCACATTGCAACTAATTCTAATACTGAATAATGCAGCTTGAATTGTTTTTGTAGCAAGTAGCAAATGGAATTCAACTATGACACTGCCTTAAAAGCAAGACTATGAACACTATCTAACACTATATGAAGAAATACTATGGAACATTCACATGTTTGTGAATACCTGTGTCATAACAAAATTCTAGACATTTAAAGACACATTGCTGTTTTAAACAAGCTGACGGGGGACGATTTTCCATTTGCACAATTTAATTCCTCTTCTATCTTACAATGTTGCTCTGCTAAGCGCATGCTCAATGGCCAGAAAAACAGCAATATTATCTATAGATATGTCAGACAGAGCACATGTGTGTGTTTGTGTATATACATACATGCATATAGTATATACACACACAAAAAAGGTAAGCAATATTTTAGACTTGAAACTCAATCTCCTATATGTTTCTTTATGTAAGTATTTAGATTTTCTGAAAAGAAAGGGGTGGAGATGGTTGAAATGAGAGTACTGTACACACTGTCTTCCATGCCTTCATCCTCAGTAGACCACTGCATTGTAGGTTTGTCTGTTTTTATTGTGTGTCTGTTTTCTTTTCTTTTTTTCATATGTTTTAGGCAGGGTGTGTAGGCTTACAGTTTATTGATATCAAAACAAATGACTGTTTTTTTGTATTTAGGCTCCAAAAGAAGTAAATGCATTTAAGACTATATAGAAAATGATGAGCAATTAGATTAGCCTAACCAGAAGGCTGAGATTAAAACTGTATTTATGATAATAGGTCACAAGGTGGAGCTGTTCATATACAAAATGTCAATGTGAAGACACATCATTTTTGTATGTTTTCATTGAAATAAATAAATATTTTACTAACTTTTGTATTTAGAATTATTTAAGGCACATATCATATGGTAAATTATGTTATGACAAATGTATATGCAAATATCGCCAAATATTTTTTTTTGGTGGGGGGAGGGAGGTAGGAGGGTGAGAAAGGTTGGGGGTGGTGTATCACCCTGGTGAAAGATTTTATATCTGCATCCGTCCTCTTATAGTCATTCTGCCTATTTAAAACACACTGATCAAAATGTGATGGAAGTTGAGACTGGAAATTTTTTTTATTTACTAACAAGTGCAACTAAGCCACAAGGTTTATTCACTCCACAGAAAACCATAGAAACCACAATGCCATAACTATCTGATAGATGGCATTGCATGGGCTTCTGTTTTGTTGTTGTTTGTTGTGTAAATGCCATCCCTAGTGAGACCAAGAATTGGTCTTATTCGGTGAGTGGTGTCAGTCAAATTAACAATTTAAACTACAGGTGCTGTGGTGCTTAATCTCTCTGGTCCTACCTACTACTTCCTTTAAATATTAGAGGATGGGTAGGATATATTAATAACACATTAAAATAAAATGTCATACTTACCTGTATCAGTGATCAGTGAAGATCTTTTCAATCTTATGGTTTCTTCTTCATTTTACGATCTTCTTTCTTCGGCCATTAATGGCATGGCATAGCATGGCCAAACTAAAACACAATATACACTATCTACCTATACTATAGTGAAATAACATACACAACCACAAAAAACAAAAACAAAAAAAAAAAAACAGGAAAAATAAGAAACAAGAAAAAACAAACAAACAATCATAAAATATAGCTGGAGGACTTGCAATTAAGGGATTAAAACAGAACAGGCCTTATAAAGACCACTGCCAACTTGACGATCTAAATAAGCACTGTGAGTGGTTGAATTTCTAGTGTATTCCCAGGAAAGGTTTGATTGTTCTGAGACTTCCTTGGAGATATGTAATTTATTTCACTGTACATGCTTAAACACAAATATGTCTACAGCAAACTGAAATCTACAGCTATACACAACTTCTTCATTTTAAAATTGCTTCTTTATGTTTCAGCCTACAATTCTCCAACATTCCCAGACTTAACACCTGTAAAGGAGATGGTATGGGCATCCTTCTCTCCCACCAATGTACATTTCAACCAATTTTCTCTGCTCCTGCCTTATCTTTTCCTTCCTTTGACGTTCACGCTGTCCGCCTATTTAAACCCAATTTATCACCCCCATGGTCATCCTGGCCTATTTATTAATCATTTTATTCATTTAATTTAGCACTCCTTCTCTTATCCTTCGGACTTTAATATTCCAGTCAACAACCCTAACAGCTCTAGTGCCTCAACCCTAACAGCTCTAATGCCTCTTGACTGCTCTTTGTTACCTCCTCCTTCAGCCTCATGCAATGGCCTAACTCAGACACTCATACAAGCGGAAACACTCTTGATCTCATCTTTACCAGTCTCTGTATTGCCTTTGATCTCTCCAATGTTCAATTTACTCTATCTGACCACCATCTGCTGACCATTGACATCAGCATACCACATACCACCCTTGGTATATTAATCTTGTAGAAACCTCCACTTTCTTGAATTTCAGCAATTCTCCACCAACTTAAAATTTTTCTTTTTACCCATCACAAACCTCACCTGCACTAGCTCTGCAATCTCCCTCTACAACTCCACCCTCTTCTCTGAACTAGATATCATAGCATTTCCTATATTTAAAAATTGTAAGTGAGCCCAGAATGCTCCAGAACTGCTGAACACTGCTGGAGACTGCATCGGACTTGCTCCAAAATAAATTAATGCTATGCTCGAACAGTTTGACTCTTTCCTCCACAAAAGAAAACTACTTCAATACCCTCATAGCAATAAGTTGTGTACACTAAATTGACCGACTTCCTTGAATCCAACTCTCTGCTTGACCCGCTTCAGTCTGTGTTCCCTGCTCATCACTGTCCAAATGGCCCTGACCAAAGTATCCAATGATTTAATTGCTGCTAAATTTAGTGGTCGCTACTCTCTTCTAATTCTCCTTGAAGTTTCTGCTGCTTTCGAAACTGTTGATCATCAACAAATTCTTCTCATCTTCTGTAATCTCAGACTACATAACTCTTCTCTTCACTGTTTCCTCTCCTACCTTTGCCAGCATTCTCTTGGTAAACTCAACAGCTCTTTTGGCTTCCAATATCACTTCTATATAGATGACATGCAAATGTATCTGTCCTCTCATGATATCTCTCCATCCATCTTGATTTGTGTCTGACTGCCTCTCTTTTCTTTCTAATTGGATGGCTGCTAACTTCCTGAAACTTAACCTGTTCAAAACAAAACTTCTCTTCTTTACTCCCTCAAGTGTTCCTACTCCTGCATCTGTCTCACTCCAAGTCAATGACACTACCATCACCTCTACCTTGCAGGCTCCCTGTCTAGGTGTTCTCTTTGACCCCCACCTATCCTTCACTCCCCCTGTCTAGTCACTTGCCAAATCCTGCCACTTCCATCTCAAAAACACAGCTCACATCCGCCCCTATCTAAGACTGGAGGCGGCTAGGCTGCTGGTCCATGCCCCTATAATCTCTCCTTGACTACTGTAATCCACTTCTCAGTGGTCATACACTTTCCCAGCTTGCCCCAGTCTATAATGATTTAGGGTTCAATTTAGAATTTTGGTGCTTGCTTACAAATCTCTACATAATGCTGCCCCTACCTACCTACCTATCTGCTCCTCACTAATACACAAGTATGTTCCGTCCAGGCCCCTATGCTCTGCTGAAGGTCTGCGTCTATCCACTGTTTATACTTGTACCTCTGACGGTAACCTTCAAGACTTATCTAGGGATGCGCCGTGACTATGGAACTCCCTTCCCTGCTCTGTTAGACTCTCACCCAGTCTCAGTACCTTCAATAGATCATTAAAAACTCACTTCTTTAGGAAAGCATATCAACTCCCCATAACTTGCTTCCTCTCCTCCAATTGTGTCATCCATAAAATGAACCCTTCATTGTGAACTACTCTAATGATCTACTATCCCTGTGCATGAAATACATCCCACCTATACCTCTTGTGCCACTTTACCCCACTCCCTATAGAATGTAAGCTTGTTTGGGGGCTAGGGTGACACACAAAGGGTAGGGAGGCAGGGAGACTTGAGAGACACACACCAAAGAAGACAGCAAGCAGGTCTGCCCTGTTTCCATATATCCTACATACATTTTTGTTTACAACTAAGCTTTAATCATAAATTTGCCTTTTAATTCAAAAGGTCACCTGTTAGATTTAATATTCTCAGCAATCCCAAGTTTAACCCCTTAAGGACTAAACTTCTTTAATAAAAGGGAGTCATGACATGTCACACATGTCATGTGTCCTTAAGGGGTTAAAGGACCACTATAGTGCCAGGAAAACATACTAGTTTTCCTGGCACTATAGTGCCCTGAGGGTGCCCCCACCCTCATGGACCCCCTCCCGCCGGGCTCCAGGGAGAAGAAGGGGTTAAACTTACCTCTTTTTCCAGCACCGGGCGGGGAGCTCTCCTCCTCTTCTCCTCCCTCTTCTCCTCCTCTTCGGCTGAATGCGCATGCGCGGCAGGAGCTGCGCGCGCATTCAGCCAGTCCATAGGAAAGCATTCTCAATGCTTTCCTATGGACGCTGGCGTCTTCTCACTGTGGTTTTCACAGTGAGAAGCACGCAAGCGCCTCTAGCGGCTGGCAAGAGACAGCCACTACAGGCTGGATTAACCCTAACATAAACATAGCAGTTTCTCTGAAACTGCTATGTTTATAAAACAAAAAGGATTAACCCTAGCTGGACCTGGCACCCAGACCACTTCATTAAGCTGAAGTGGTCTGGGTGCCTATAGTGGTCCTTTAATGAATAGACCATTTTTAATTCAAGGTGAATCTCAAATTTTAGACTAAAATTGTGGAAACTTAGCTGATGTTAATATTTTCCCAGTTTGTCTATTTTTGGCCTAAAATGTTAAATAAATTTTGATTCACTTTTCATTAAGTAGAACTGCAAAAGCCAAGATAACAGAGAAAGAAAAAAAAATTCAATTATGCTTTTCTCCTACCTGTTTTCTACACAACCCATTTGGGTTTATTTCACTAAACAGCTAATTTTTGTGAACTGAAATTTTTTTTTCAAATTTCAGGTTAAAACTAAGCTGATAATGTAGTTAGTAATGTATTTTTGTAATTAGGTTCTCAAAATTTGTGGTTTAGTGAATAAGCCCTGATGTTTAGTGACTCAATCGTATATTTCTTCAGAGTTTCACAAATAGTGTGTAAAGGTTAGCTATTTAAATTGAGAATCATGGAAGATTGACAAGAGGATTACAAATATAAGGCCAAAATGGCAAAACAAGATAAATACTTATAATTAAATTAATAATGTAATTATAAAATTAAATAATTTTCAGCTTGGCGAGATGGAGTTTTAAGTTGCAGTTCCCTTGTAATTTCACCACATTATCCAGTTTATTAAATACAACCTAGTACATGGTGGGGGCAAACAAAGCTGACACCTGCCAGACTGCATTTTGTGAAAAATCTGATACTTCTATTTTTTTTTTGTATTCCAAATGAAAGTAGAAAAAGTCCATTACAATGTGTTTTATGGATGCTGGAAGGCAAAAACAAACAAAACGTCTTCTATGTGTAAAATCATTGTCCCCCATCATTACCGACACATAGAAGCGGTTACAAAGAGAGGCACAAAAATATTTGGGAAACACACATTCATCTTTATTTGCTTTTTTAATTCAGTTATTATTAGGTAAATAGACGGGCAAAACATATTAAACTAAACAGTGAGAATAATACACTTTAATGGACAAAACAAGAGAAAATGTACAGCAGTACAAATAAATAGAAATATTCTTACTATTGTTGAGTAGATATACCCCCAATACAATATGCTTACATTTAAGTATGCATTTTTAAGGGAGTTCTTTCTAAAAAAAACGCTTGCAAAAGTTAAAGATCTCGTGTCTGCTGCCTTTGCAAACCCTCCCCTTCTAGCCCCTGCCCAGACTTTCTGTGACTGTGCAATCACGAACTTCCCAGGCAGGTGCTTTTGACAATTGGCTGCCTCTTGAAAAACGAGGCACTGTCTAGATACATTTTTATTTTCATTAATATCGCCAGAAAACTGATATTGGTTGATAAATAAATGACTGACAGAATAAAAAACAGAACAAATTTTGTTTTGGTGCCATTCAGTCACTCGCCGGCTGTGGATTTTCTTGGTGATGTACCCGGTCTAGAAAGTAAGTAATTGATCTCCCACTTCAAATAGACACATCTTTTGTTATCTTGCAATATTTCAGCACCTTAGGTGTTTGGTGTGAAAGAAAGATCTTCTCTTCCTCCTAGCATGAAAGGTAATTAGACAATTCATGTTACATAAACAGTATTTCACATCATGAAATTGTATCTCTGTAGTAACTGTACATTATCATCTTCTTTCCAGTTGCATGGAGAATGGAAGATCAGGCAGAAGACAGATTTCTTACCAAAACGCTAACAGGCGAATCATCTGGGGCCGTATCGCATTCATCACTGAGAGAATAAGCGTCGTCAACCTGTGGTCAAGAGAGTCAAGCTTCCTTTAGATAGAATGCAAATGGAATCTTGAAAAAAGAACTCAAAAGAATGATGGATATCATTGTAAGAGAGCACCTTCTGTTCAACGAGATTTCCTATCAGTATGCCCCATTACTTCACTAATGGAAGCTGAGGCTATCGAAACAAGAAAAAAATACTATGATAAAACAATGGAATCGATTATTATTATTTATATAGCGCCACCGGATTTCATAGTGCTGTACAATGGGTGGACTAGCGCTATACTATGATATAACACCGGTCTTGATTATAATTACTATTATTATTATTTTATTATTTATATAGCGCCATCAGATTCCGTAGCGCTGTACAATGGGTGGACTAACAGACTTGATAACAGCGCTTCTCGCAAACAGAAAAAGTCATCTCTTAATACTGCCACAGCTGAAATGACATCAATTTATAAAAAATAAAAAATACACATAAATTAAACAGCACATATACAAAACTTCACAGATATTAAAAATACATATAATTTGATCAAATCCAATATATTTTCTAACTTCAAATAGATGATTTCAAGTAGCCTTCACATTTTTTTTTCTGTTTATAAAGTGAGGTGATTCAAGAAGGAATACTGAAAAGAAATGCATGTTACAAAATCCCTCTTTTTATGGTATACTCCACACCCCTTTACACTCGTGTGCTCCACAATAAGTGTAATATAATCATGGGAAAGAAAGGCTCTAGGAAAAAGTTTAAAAATGAGAAGTGAAAAGTGAAAATTTGATGACATGTCATTTAAGATGAGATGATTTAAGCAGTCTTAAAAGTTTTTTATTTTTATTTCTGTAGGTTTGTGTGTGAATAGAATTACAATGTATTTGTGTAACATGTTATACTACACTGATGATTTCTCCCTATGAACTTGTTTTTCAGAATCGCCAAGTTTATCCTGCTTCCACAACTTCTGGAAAAATTAGAACATTTGAAATGAAAGAGAAGCAGATAGGTCTGAAAGCTGATAAACTCTTTGATGTTAAAGTGACTGTGTTCACCAAATCCCTTCCCATCCCCAAGTCTATGTATCACTCCCTTCTGACCACCCCATAACGTTTAATGGCAATGGGACCAATGCTACCTATCTTTACTTCAATTGTGCTGGTACCAAAGGGTTTTTTTCCACGATGCTGCTATGCTGCCATCTTGGCATTTCTAAGATGGTGTCCTTTGGAAACCGCTGCCTCTATCTTTCCAAACATGCACATGTCCAGTTCATTTAAAGTCCACATAGACAGTCAAAGACACAACTCTTGACAACCAATGGCAAAACTTGACAAAGGATGTGGAACTAGACTAAAGCTCCACCCTTTTGCCAACCTGCAGGTTATACTCAAGTAAAAGAAGTCTATACTTTTCCTCTTGTATAACTTAAAAAATATATCTATTTGAAAAAAAAAATGGGGCTGCCCAGATAGCAATTAGAACATGTCAATGCAATAAAAAAAGGTAAAGAGCTGCTTTCATATTATCGATTATTTCAGATGCAAATTCCTAAAGATGGTATCATCAATGGAATGTCCTGGTAACACAATGCTGCCCCTGAAGTGAATTTTATTGCTGAAACTACTGAGGGGGAGTTAAAGGGACACTGCAGTCGCATAGACCACTTCAACTTACTGCACTTAGTACTACAATGTTAAACATTGCCATTCCAGAGAAACTGCAATGTTTGCAGCTCTAAGTCTGCCCTCAATGGCTGTCTACCAGACAGCTACAAGGGGACTTCCTGGATCGAAAAGGACCTCTGGTCTGTATCTAACGCTGGACGTTCTCACGCTCTGCATGAGGACCTCCAGCATCCTGATAGGAAAGAATTGATTGAGTCCGTTTGCCGTGGGATGTCGGAGGAGGCGGAGCATCACCCCAGCACAGAGGGACATCGACACTGGGATCAGGTAAGTAAAAATAAAGGGTTTTAACTCTTTATTTACCGGGGGAGGGAGGAGGCAGGGGGAGCTATAGTGGCAGGAATACAAATTATTGCAGTCACTTTAGCTTCAGTTTTGTGTGAATGCTACTTTCTGTTACTCCACCTCTATGCATTGGGAATACTTTTCAATATTTTGTGTGCACCAAAATAATCTGTTTCTACTACTTTTTATTCCACCTTAAAAAACTTCTGCCCCCTTTTTTTCCGCTGACATCTTAACCATTGATTACATTCGCATAATATTACTAGGAAATAAACAACACTTGCAAACTGAAGGATATTTCAGTCCTAGGGGTATTGAGTTTCAGAGGCTACAGATTAAGGTAAATACGGAACAGTGCCAGTGTTAATCAAAATCAGTAAAACAAACCATAGAGATGTTCTGATGATTCAGTCATGTTTAGCAATTAACCCATTAACCACAGATTCCACTTATTGAATATAACCAGGTATCTGCAAAAAGTCATGTATTAAGAAGAAACTCTATAACAGTACTTCGGGCTTATTCAATCAATATTGCATTTGAGAACCCAAGTTGTGTTTTTACAAAATATCAGGTACAAATCAAGTATACCTGTTCCATTGTCATGTAATAGCAATCAGTAAAATTCACAAGACCTAAAATTTGTTTGCCTACATTAAGATAACTTTAATAAGTATGTTTCTGATGTTCTTCTGGGAACTCACTGCGGCCGTAAGATTCTATCGCTCGATATGCTCTGTAAAACTTTCGTTTGTAGGATTTAGGTGCTGAATAGTGATGTCCCGAAAGGTTCGCTAACGGTTCGCCACGGACTCATCATTCCAGCCAATCAGCAGCAGACCCTCCCTCCCAGACCGTCCCACCTCCTGGACAGCATCCATTTTGAAGCTGCATTCTTAGTAAGCTGTCCAGGAGTTGGGAGTGTCTGGGAGGGAGGGTCTGCTGCTGATTGGCTGGAATGATGAGTCCGTGGTGAACCGTTCAGCGAACCGTTCGTGGCGAACCGTTCGTGGCGAACCGTTCGTGAACCGTTCGGGACATCACTAGTGCTGAAGGAACATAGCTAGTTTAACCCTCAAGTTAACCTGACTAGAGTCCAAGATATTTTGGTGAATATGCAATATAATAATGATTATGTTTTAACATAATTTTGATATTTCAAGGTCCACTCAACCGTAACCAGGCTTTATGATAAATCCCATAACTTCATGAAGGATATCGAGACTTTCCTTTCTGTGGAAGTAGTAAAGACTACTTTGGTACAGGTATTAACGAATGTAAGAGGTTTGAATGAACTGTTTATAAAGAGCAACTAAGTAAAAAAATTACAAACTTAGCTGGTTTGGGCACCCATTGAGGATACATCATGCCAAGTATTGGGGCCTACTTGGAGCACTGTAGCTGTAGGCAATCTGGTTTCGTAGATATAAAATTCTTCTCTGATTAGACTGCATTGTGGATCTGCAATGATGCTCTTTCACTACTACAGTTGTAATCAAAATTATTCAACCCCCATTGAAAAGCAGGTACATTGTCAAAATTTAAAGACTTTCAGCTGTTTACAATTAACAAAAAAAAGCAATAGAAATAGCTCAACACAATGAATGCTTAAAGTTATTTCCTCAAATTCAACTGAACATGCAACTTATAATGACTTCCCAGTCTAATAATTACTCAACTCCCTAAATAGAATCCCTCACAACAGTACAAACATGCAAAAGAGGTGTTGTCTCAAGCACACCTGATGCAACTAATCGAGGGCTTCATTAGTTGCACCAGGTGTGCTTGAGGTGGAACACGTGGAATATCTGAACTGGCTATGGGTCCACAATGGTCCACAAAGTTAAGAGAAGAGATCATCAAGCTTCACACACAAGGAACAGTATGCAAAAAGACAACGAACGCACCGAATGTTCGTAGAGACACTGTTGAAAGCATACTTCAAAGTTGAAGGAACAGTAGTTACACTACTTGAATGGGGCAAAAAAGGAAGCTCTCAATGGCTGCAACCAGATTTATGAGAAGGCAGGTTGTGACACACCCTCAAGATACATGATTGACCTGCAGCAACAGCCTTTGAGGTTTCAGTGAGCAAAGTAAGGTTCATATTAAACACTGAAGGTTTCCATGCCAGAACTCTAAGACATACACCACTACAGACCTAAAAGCAGGTCCAATGTGTTCAAAATCATATAAATAGGCCACAGAAGTTATAGGATTCTGTTCTGTGGAGCGATTAAACAGAACTGGAACTTTTCTGACCAATGGATTAGCTGTATATCTGGAGGAAGAAGAATGAAGCATCTGGTGAAAAGAACACTCTGCCTACAGTTAAGCATGGTGGTGGCTCATGATGCTTTCCATCCTCTAGCACTGGAAACCTGCAGCATGTAGAATGCAAGATGTCATGATATTTGTGAGGAAGCTGATGCTTGGGTGTCATTGGACCTTCTAACAGAACAATGCTCACAAACATATCTTAAATTCCACCAAGGCTTGGTTGCAGAAGAAGTTCTGGAAAATTCCACAGTGGCCATTACAGTCACCTGGAACCTCATAGAAAATCTCTGGTGGGATTTGTAGAAGCTGATTGCAGCACGCAAACCCAAGAATATTACTGAACCGTAGGCCATTGCTTATGGGCTAAGATTCCTCAGGGACACTGCCAGGTGCTGGTGTTTGGCTATGCATCTCGTTTGCAGCAGGTCATAACAGCAAAAGGGTGCTCTACTAAGTACTAAAGATGCTTGTCATGAAGGGGTTGAATAATTTTGAGACTGGAGAAATCATTATAAGTGGCATTCTTAGTAAAATTTGGGGAAACCACATGAAGCATTTTGCTTGTTTTGTTGATTGCAAACAGTGAAAGTCTGTGAATTTTGACAATTATCCTGATTTTTCAATTAGGGATGAATAAATTCGATTACAACTATATGTGGACGATGGGTTGGATGTTTTGTTATATCACTTACAATCATTGAGCGAGTAAGTGAGCTAGTGACAGTCAATGAGTAATAGGACATGCAGACTGATACAGCCTGCTCCACATAAGATAGCAAGGAAGCCACTCCCTGCAGCAAAAGGTTAAGCAAACAGGAGGGCGAACAAGAACAAAATGTACTGGTGTGTGGACCTGGTGTGTATCTATTACTGCAAGTTTGTTTCTGTGTGTGAATGTGTGTGCCTGACTGTGTGTAATTGTGTGTTTGGCTGTGTGGGTGTTAATTTATGTATGTATGTGATTTTGGTAGTAGGTATCTGTATGTCTGTGTGTGTATTGGGTGCATGTGTGCATGTACCTGTGTGTGTGTGTGTGTCTGTGTGTATGTGTGTATCTTGCAGTTAGTATCTGTGTGTGTCTGTATGCCTATTTGTTTGTGTGCATGTGAGCATGTGAGCATGTATCTGTGTGTCTATGTGTACCTGTGAGTGTGTCTGATTTTACCTGCATGTTTTTGTGTGTATATGTTTGTGTCTGCATCTTTGTGTGTCTGCAAGCATGGATCTGTGTGTCTGGTAAAACATAGTTGTGTGTCTGGAAGTGTGCATCCAGGAGCCTGTCAGGCGGTTTTATGAGGACTCTGATGGTAATCCTGTAAACATCAGGCAGACTAGATTTACCAAATGGTTGTTATCTGCTGTCATGATGTGTTTCTTTAAGATGGAAAATATGCCCAAATAGCAATGTAACTATAGCCTAATAAAACACAGCTCAATAATACATCAAGTACATTAAGGGTTAGGTAGAAAAGTCTTTGGAACATGGTGTAAATTGCAACACAAATAGAGTCTGTAGTTATATCTAAAATGATTTGTACCAGATAGAGTTATCAGAGCATCAGAGAGGGATCTTATTGGAGGACAATGTATAGAGCAGGCACAAACATTCTCATTATTGAAATTATGACTCTTCTGTCTGGTGGAGATAAGAATGATTTTCCCATGTTGTGGATAGATAGATAGATAGATAGATAGATAGATAGATAGATTAATAGGTAGATTAATAGATAGATTAATAGAGAAATCGATAGAATCAGTAAGATAGATAGATAGATAGATAGAGATAGAGAGACAGATATATAGATAAATAGATAGAAAGATAGATAGATAGATAGATAGATAGATAGATAGATAGATAGATAGATAGATAGATAGAGAGACAGAGATAGATAGAGAGAGAGAGAGGGAGATAACAGAGAGAGAGAGACAGATCCATACATACATGATAGGCAAATGTATCTTAATAAAAGATAAACAACAGATCATTTAACAACACAACTAATTGTGTGTAGGTTTGTGTGAATTTTTCTGCATATAAATACAATGTAATATGAGTTAGATACTAGTTTCATGTTATTAATATACATTTTCACTTATCATCATATAAATTAATGTATATACCTTTGGTAGATTAATATCTAAAACCAATAATTAAAACGTATGTTAAAAAACAAAACAACAGGGCTTTCCACTCACTCTAAAATAAAGCACCAGTGACCTTTTGAATGTACTCTGTGTCCCCTTTACCCCCCCCCCGTGTCTGTATGAAGCCCTTGCTGGCTGTAGGTAAGAGTGATTGGGGTGGATTTCAGCCTAGTCTGACTGTGATGAGCTTTGGAGGGGGCATGCGTGGGCGTGGGTGGCTCTGCCCACTGTGCTGCTAACTTGATGGGTTCAGCCATGCATGCTCACAGAATGTGACAGCAGAGATGGATGAAGAGGAGAACCAGGGCTGTATGGAATCCAAACCTGAACATTAAGACACATCTACTACCTACCACCACCTTTTGTTTTTAGTTTTTACCCCACCCCCATCTTTTGGCTGTTACCAAATGCCCAGAGGAGGAGATCTATGAGTAAAGGTGGCTGGCTGCGGTCAGAATTGTTTGGTAAGCAAGTTGAGCTTGTGTGCTGGGTGCTGTGAGGGTGGTAGGAACAGAGTTTTAATGATACAGCCAGATTATATCTCATAACATGTGAGGTCACCATGATCCTATAGGATACATTGATGACATCCCAGGTGGAGTGGGTACTGTAAACTGGCAATGTATCACCTGGTGTGGATACAATACTTTGTGTAATTCGGGCTTCCATGCCACTTCCCTGGCTCTGACCCTGCAGCCCACCCATAGAGGACAAGTTATAGTACCACCCTGGCTGATGACACAGTATTGGATGCCATGGGATGGCTGGGAGTTAGTATTGGATGGCATGGCTGTGAGTTAGTATTGGATGCCATGGGATGGCTGGGAGTTAGTATTGGATGCCATGGGATGGATGGGAGTTAGTATTAGAAGCCATGGGATGGCTGAGAGTTAGTATTGGAAGCCATGGAATGGCTGAGAGTTAGTATTGGAAACCATGGGATGGCTCAGAGTTAGTATTGGAAGCCATGGAATGGCTGAGAGTTAGTATTGGAAACCATGGGATGGATGAGAGTTAGTATTAGAAGCCATGGGATGGCTCAGAGTTAGTATTGGAAGCCATGGAATGGCTGGGAGTTAGTATTAGAAGCCATGGGATGGCTCAGAGTTAGTATTGGAAGCCATGGAATGGCTGAGAGTTAGTATTGGAAACCATGGGATGGCTGGGAGTTAGTATTGGAAACCATGGCATGGCTCAGAGTTAGTATTGGAAGCCATGGAATGGCTGAGAGTTAGTATTGGAAACCATGGGATGGCTGAGAGTTAGTATTGGAAGCCATGGGATGGCTGGGAGTTAGTATTGGATGCCATGGGATGGCTGAGGGTTTATATCTGCCTTTCCTGCGCTGATAGTCTGGTTTACAGACAGGTGATTTCTGTTGTTAAGAGTTCCAGTTTGTTCTGCATTAACAATTGAGTTCTGTTAGAATGCAGGCATTATTCTACCCTGCTGTACCTATTGTGTATATTAGCTATTAAATCACTGAAATTATTCTTCCTCTTTGTAGAACATGTGTGCAAGGATTATACAAACTGATATCACATAAACAGATCCAAGCTGGTTTATTAATGCTGGCCATGGCTTGGTCTCTGTTCTGCTCATGTTGAAGTTAAGGATTAGATAAATAAAGTTTTTACTTTGATACTAAGTAGTTGTTACTTGTTTTAGCTAAACTTTTCTACACATATTACTCTAGGAAAAATGTCCTTGATGTCATTAGAAATGATACTATTTTAAATAAAAATCAGCAATCAATGGCCTGGATGACATTATAACTCATATTATATGAAACCCAAAAAATGTTTGACGACAAACTAGCCAAGCATCATGGGAAATGGAATAACTGTATTTGTGGACTACCTTCTCATGATGCTCGGCCAGACATAGAGGGTACTTCTCCCATGATGCCATAGAAGGTAGAGGGTAAATATAATCTGTACTTATCTGCAGTGCCAACAATCTGCCTGAGTGTTTTGTGAAGCACAGGGATCTGCAGTGCTAAAAGGCTGGATGAGCATAGTGGTGAGTTGAGCCCATGGCTGGCTGGGCGTGATGTGCAATGCAGTCTGCAAACATCAGCAGACATCAAGTCAGCCCAACACTACCCTGCAGCTTTGGTAGGGCTATATTACTTCATACACGAAGAATGATAAAAAAAAAAAAAAAAAAGTTTCAGGACAAGTATTAAGAAGAATACAAATGAGTAATTGTGTAGCGATGTCTGATTAGCTGCAGTTCACTGTAAGCATCCGTTGATTTGGCATTATTTTCCCTGTTTCAGCAATTCCAGACTTGCTGAGCTAAGCATGTACAAGGGGTGGCACACAGACATGTAAAGCAGGGGATTTACTACATACATTTGGTGTTGATGCAATCTGCATTCACATATTGCATGGGTCTTTTTAAAGTCAGGACCAATATATACTACATTTAATGGTTCAAAAGAACAAACAACAAAAATGGAACGGGCAACATCTGTTATTTCCCCTGCTGTACACTACAGCTAAGCAAAATACATATTTTATTGTCTGGCTGTGATGTGAGTTGCAGTGCATTGCTCCTGCACTGGTATAAAACTCCTTACATTCCTTACATTCAAAAGCAAGGCAGAGCACCCTCTGACATTAAGGCTGAGAGTGATGTCAGTTGTAATCCACACCAGATGGATTATTTACCAGGAGAGAGTCAACCAGTGACTATTTATTTCTGGGCAGATGTTATAAGCTTCTACTCACTTCTGTCATAAATGACAATATGTATATGAAAGTCCAATCTTCCTGATGCCAGATAAACAGGAAAGTTTGTCAAACTGTTTTGCTAAGTATGCTTTGCTCTGCAGATGTTTGTGAACTGAATGTCCAATGATTCTCAGGCAGTCTGTAGGAAATACCTGATAAATGTAGTTCAGAAACCTTAGCAGAGGTAAAGTTAGCCATCTCTACATTGGTAGGTTCCTTGTGAAGGGTACATCATTTTTATATATATGGAGTGTTTTGCACACAATAACTATTGCAACTACAATATTGCCTGCATATATAACAGGTTTCTTTACATACAAAATAAAAGTTTCATTTTTTTATTTAAAAAAGATATATATTATTACATTTTTAATAGCGTGATGTTTTTTATAATTAAAAAAGTCACATTAATATGTTGGTCTAAAATGTAATCTGATTACTAACAACCAAAAATAAGGTACCGGCCATTGCAAAGGAATCTTTATTTATATCAATGATGCACCTTTTTTTAACTGTACCATTAGTGATTAAATAATAAAAATGTATATATATATATATATAATTCAAATGTAGAATATAATGTGAATTAGATTCCCTAAAATAATTTTTCTGTTACTTTTTATCCAAATTTACTGCATTATTTCAACTCTGCAAATTTCATATAATTTATAAAATATTTTACCAGGAAGGATACATTGAGATTTCTTTAATTTCAAATATGTCCCAGAAAACATGTTATATAGATATATAGATATATATATTAAACCTGTGGCAGAACAGATCAGTCAGCTATGCATTGTCTGTGCTCACATCCATGGGAATGCTGTTATCATAACAAGCCAAAGATTTAATAGTAAAATAAATAGTCTGTCTAGCTTATTATTGCTGCTCCCAATTGCAGTGTAAATGGGTGTCTGGCGGTATATGGGCATCTGACAAGTCATTTCATTCATGATCCAATCACTCTCAGGGCATGTGGACAGTAATCTAAGTGTGCCATATAGACCGTCTCTTGCTTTACCATAGGGCTGTGTCTTAGAGAGGCGTTTTCTAGGTAAGTGACTGAATCTTACACTAACCTCAGTGCACTGTAAGGACCCTAGCTCATTTCTGTATAAACCTCAGATAGTTACAGCCCTCTAATAGATTGGATGGTAACAAAGGCTGCACCTGCAGCTATTTTATTTGTTGTTGTTAATTATTACAGCTTGAGAAAAAAAAGAGTTACTTGCGCATTATTCCAAAGTACCTCTTTTTTCATTGTTTTTTTATTGTATATATCGGGGCTGATGTGTGCTGTGGTTGTTGCTGCCGCCCAGGAGTAGTGGGAGTTTGCGTGCAGGACTTATTTTTGTGTAATTATTACAATTTAATTATTATATGCATCAAATATCACTACTAATATCGCATGCCTCGTAAAATAAATACGGATTACAAAAATACCTTTATAATGCAATACATACTACGTATAATGTGGTTATTAAAAAAAATTAAAAAAATCCTGCTGCCTAAGCTAATAACAATAATACATATATATATATCGATAAGCCTATATGTTGCAAGGGTAAGATAGAAGTAGAAGTGGAGCAATATTTAGAAACGTCCCTTACTCCTAGACTCAAATATTGCAAGGATCCACTTTAATGTTACTCTGTACCAAATCTTCCACAATGTATCTAAAAACATACCATATGGTAAAGAAATATTAATTTGTGGATAAACTGGTTGCTGCTTCCTTTTTTAATCTTAATATAGCATTTGAATATCAGATGAAATATACAATTGTGGATCTAAGCCTCTGTGTAATGAACATGGAAGAGGAAGAATGTTCCCAAAACATTCTGCAGACCTACAGTTTTACTATAGGAATGTAATAATCATACATGGGTTATTAGAATAATGTAATAATCATACATGGGTTATTATAAGAATGTGATAATCACATATGGGGTTTAATATATTCTGACACAGGGTTTTATTATTAGACATGGGGTTTTATAATAGACATGTAATAATAAAACAGGCGTTTTTAGTATAGGTATTTTATAAACATGTCATTTTACTATAGGGTGTGCTGTTATTATTATTATTATTGTAATCATTTTTATTATAGGAATGTAATAATTTGAACTGTGTTGTATTCTAAGTGTGTAATAATAAGATATTTGATGTAATTATATTCATACTAAAACTGACCTACCATGATATTATATTAATCTAATAGTTAGTCCTCTCATTTATATATAAGGAAGTAATAAGACCAGGAGTGTATCAATCAGATATGTTATAAATGTCCCCCCACGTTGATATTTGCCTACAATATACAAAAATATACCCATCACTGTCTATTCTGTTTCCTTTTTTAATACTTTAAAGTTAACACAATGTACTTTTTTTGAGATCTATAATTATTCCAATTAATAAACATTTTGATCAATTATTGTAATTTTGTGATTGGAATCCGAATTATATAAATTGGTTGCTTGTCATCTGTGCCCTGTATGCTTACAAGATTAAATAGATATATATTAAGGGGCCAATGGAAGCAATTTAGATATACCTATATCTGAGAAATTACTTCATGTGTTAATTATATCTCCATCAACCTCTGCAAACAATATTATTTTATATCTCTGTATCATTATTATAAATACATATTTGCCATTACTAATTTAAGATAAAATTAAAAGGTATACTTTGGTATACAGTATTCATTTGATTCATAATTAATATTTAGCATTATTAATTCTTTTGACTTATTTTAGTCTACAATACATTCACTTTTAGTAATGAGACATAATAGGTTAATGAATTTAACTTGTGTGTCCTCCACTTGTGTCATCATAGATCAATTGCACAGCTGTATCATACTAAGGCTGCAGGCTGTTTTTAGTCATTGACCACTAAATGTTTTGGCAACATTCTCTGATCAGATTACACTTTTTATTTAATGCTATTTACACATGCAGTATAACTTTATCACTAAGCTGTTCATTGTTACCATTTATGAATGTAATAATCCGTTAGTTCAGTAAGTATGGCACAGCTAAAGTGCCTAGCTACTCAGAAGCTAAATAATACACAGAATAAATAAAATATCGAGGATTATCTGCAGCCAGTAAAATAATAAGCCTTATCTAAAATTTGCTAAACACCCCCAGAATGCAAGAGATGCTTCGTTTAGTATATGATATTTATTTTCTGTTTGGTACTCTATGTATTTGCAGTTCATGTGTTCTTTGTATGTGTGTAATGTGGTCTCTGTATGTTTTGTCCATATATTTGGTAACGTGTTGTATCCACGTTATTCATAATCTATGCTAAATTCATCTCAGTATCTAACTGTAAATCTATTTTGTGTTAAATGTTTTACTGTGTTAATTTAATGGTAATTATTGTAATACAAGCATATAATAAAATATATATATACAATAAACATTGTGCTATATCCGTAAGCTCCATTCACAGACTTAGTCTTGTCAACTTTATGACATCATTTTGTTACATTGGCTTATATATTCTGACAATGTACACATTTACCTTTCTGATCCTTATCGTTTAGCCACTGTTATATTTCCCAACACTTGCATTTCATAGATTGTAAGCTCATTGAGCAAGGCCTTCATGAATATTCTCTATCTAGAATTGTAATGTGCTGCGGAATGTGTTGGTGCTAAATAAAACAAACTATTTTTGCTTCTTCCACTTCCTTCCCATTACCCAAACTGCCCTCTCCTATGGATAACAAAGACATGACACCTCTGGGTAATTTATCTAATGGAGAATTTGCTCTAGCATTGATCCCACATATTAAATCGTGCACCTACTCTTACTGCTTACACCTAACAATCTGCCTTATATCAATGGAACTTGCTACTACCGACATATCCATTCTCTCCATCTCCTACCAATCTCAAACATTCCACTAAATCATCTCTTTATAGAGTCACACAAATTATTCTGGTAACCCTAACATTAATACATCCATTATGGGAACGTTTGAGCCAATTTCTTTTGTCTCATTTACTATACTTGTTTGATACAAACTTTTATCTGTACATCCAATATCATTATAGTTCTAGATCGAATGTTTTGTATTACCCTTTATTCGGTGTATGTAACATTGAGTTTGTTGGTACTATATAAATATCTTCGGAACTAAGGATATGAAAGCATTCAGCCAGAAATGCCACATTTAGATTTCATTAGTTTCCAAATACACATTAAAGTCTTTGTGTTTTGGTATTGGAGCACTGATCTATCTCACAGCTTAAAGGACAACTGTCACCTCAAAATTATTTATTAATATAATAATCATTTAATCAGGTCTTTAGAGGAAATAGATTTTTTAAATTAAATATATGTAAGCAAAATTGGAAAAACATAATTCCTACCCTTAGTGTATGACACTATGCTTCAGCCATGTACATGCGCCTTAGGTCAGACAGTGTTCAAAAACTCTAATTTAGTCTCTATGGTGTTTCCTGCTTCACTCCTTGCTCTGAGGCAGGGGAGACCATAGAGACTAACTGTTGGTTTTCGAACACTGTCTGACCCAAGGGAATGAGGAACCTCTCATATACTAAAGGTAGGGATGCGTTTTTCTCATTCATTACATATGCTTCACTTAAAAAAAAAAAATATATTCTTCTTTTCAAAGATTGAGGGAATGATGATTATATTAAAAATAGTTTAGAGGTGACAATTGTCCTCTTAAGGACACATGACATGTGTGACATGTCAAGTTTCCCTTTTATTCCAGAAGTTTGGTCCTTAAGGGGTTAAGCATGTCATAATAATGACATGCTTAAACACATTCTTACTGAAAGACTGCTCACATATAAGTATCGGTATATTTCATTTTTTATTTATTTCATTTTCAACTATCAAAATAAATGTTATATGTTATAATAAATAGCCCTTTCAATTAGATTTATACTGTGGTCACTTGGCACCTGGGGTGGAAATGAATGTTGGTACCCTCCTCCCCCAATTTTAATGTTCTATGTTGAATTACACCTACTCAACCTTTTATCTCCTGACCCTTCTTGGGTATTTCTCTCAACAACCCCTTTCAACTTTAACTCATTTTACCCTCTTGTCTGTCTCTGAACCAAAATTACTTCTTGTGTATATTTTAATATCTCTTTCCTGTTCCCTTGTCAGTTTTTTAACTCTTTTGCCCTTTTTGTCATTTCACATACATCCACAGTGACGTGCATACATGCATACACATGCAATTGTACATGCAATCACATACACACATGGACACTGTCACATAAAAAGACACACATTCACCAATTACCCACCGCCATAACATACATAATCACACAGTTACACACACGCAGTCACATACATACACATACCCACATAAAGTCACAGACATGCACAGTCACATACACATACAAACATTCAGATACACACAGTCATACAAATACAATGTCCCATACAGCCACATGCACATAGTCACACACAGCCTTACACACAGTTACAGGGACATAGTCACACAGACAGAAACACAGTCACAAACATAGATACACAGAGTTACTGGCACACAGTCACACGTTAACACACAAAAAGTACACAGTTACCAAAAGTACATCTCAAGTTTATGGGCACTGGGTGGAAGGAGCAAAGCTGGAGGCTGGAGGCACAGCAGCCCTTGAATTTAGTGGTTGGGGAAGCCATCACCTTCAATTAACAAGCAGCAGGTGATGGTAGCATATAACTTAACCCTTAATGACTGTATTAGTGATGCAGCTTCCTACCTGCTTGATCTGTCAAGAGGATAATTAAATCTTCTACATGAGTCCCACATGGCCAGACTACAAAGAGTGACAGGTGGGGGATGCTATGTGCACCTTGGTCCCACCTGTCACCCAAGGACCCCTGCCCCTCCTCATTAGTTCAATACTGTTTTCAAAATAAATATAACAACGTTAGTCATTTGGCAGGAACAAGCCTGTTTGTTTTTTGGGGAATAGCCACTCCATGTGGCCTCTTAAAATACTATGTGTATTCCGTAATTTATCTCAACATAGTGTCACCTTAAATTTTGTGCACCAGAACATTGTCTTGTCCATCATTATGACTGGGCCCATCACAGGCAGTAGTGATATGAAAGAAGGTGACTTAGCAAGGATTTTAAACTCATGACTGTATTCCTGCAGACTGTATAATTTCTATATTTTTTAACGGACAAAATAAAAATCTTTTCCATACCTTTGCCATACAAAATCATTATTTTAGACACACTCAGCTTTCTCACCACTCCCATACTGGTTTCCTGTAATGCTTTATTCAGTTTTCCTGACTAATCCCATCTCCCACACTGTACATTAACGTGCAATACTCAAGATGCTGAAATCTACTTAGGTGTTGGGAAAGAAAGATGTAGTGAGCTCTTCTCAGGGCATGTATACAGACTGTCATAATTGCATGGAATTTAAAAGCTATAGAAGTCAACAATTGTACTTGTTGTATATGCTTTGTAATTTTGTGATTTTTATATTCCGCTGGATTTTTAGGAATTTGCAATCCCCAAAATACCAGCATATCCATTACAGATACTCAAATGATTAAATGTGTCTTTTTGCTACATTCTCTGCTACTCTGATGTTTATAATCTGTCCATGATTACATGCCACAGTCTGTTTGAAATATATTTCCCAAAGGAAGAATAATTTAATACAAAAGTTTTTAGTTACTTGTTTTGGGTTATTCCTGAACATGCTACATGAGATGCTTAAGGGTGCCAAGAAAACATAAATGGGATTACCTGGTCTCCATGTCAACCTGCAAGTCAAAAGATATCAAGTACATGACTTCCCTTATTTTCATATTCACTGTATGGTGGGATTTGGGGTAAAATACTTAGCAGTGGGCTGACCAGTTCATTTCTTCATTCTCTAGGAGAGGGGTAGGCAACCTTCAGTACTCCAGATCTTGTGGACTACATCTCTCATAATGTTTTTACACGACCAATAAATTGGAGCAAGGTACTAATTTTTCCAGTAAAGTAACACTCTGCTAATGACTGGAATCACATAAAAAAAAGTAATAGATTTGTAACATATGGAAGATGAATTAACTGGAAAGCATAAGGTGTAAAATCTTTCCCCAGGCAGCAGTTGTAAAGGCCAGTTAGGTATTGCTATGCAAAAAAGTATTTATTCATGTCATGAAGATATAATTTTGCTTCTTTATAAAAACGATGGTAAGGCCCCAACTTTAATATTAGCAATTACCATATGAGCAATTTTGAGAACCAGTTATAAAGAATGACATTAAGGAATTAGAAAACGTGCAAGGTTGGCTACAACATTATTAAGGGGAATGGAAGATTTACGTTATAAAGAATGACTGGAAAACTACATTTCTTTTCTTTAGAGAAAAAACATGTCAGAGGGGATATTATATAATTGTGCGGAGATATACAGGGTCAGAACAAATATCTATTTGCTAGCTTGCTCATTGTATGTACACTATAGGCACCCAGACCACTTTATTTCATTAAAGTGGTCTGGGTGAGGTGCCCCTCTGCCCTTAACACTGCAATGTACAACATTCCAGTTTTAGAGAAACTACAATGTTTACATTGCAGGGTTAAGACAGCCTGGTTGTGTAAAAACATTATGAGAGATGTAGTCCACAACATCTGGAGTACTGAAGGTTGCCTACCCCTGTCCTAGAGAATGAGGAAATGCTCCTTGATTCACATGGAATTTAACTCAATGCTTGGCGTTTTGGAAATCCCCATAGGAGAGCCTTGATTCAGTGCTTTACTATGGGGAAGCTCTAATGCACTAGTAGCACTCGCCAAGCGTTTACATATGGTTCCCCTATTGCCATGATGTCATGGGAAGAGGAGACCAAGCCAGCATCGAGGGATCTTGGCACTGGAGTCAAGTAAATAAAGGGGTTTTAAATCGTCCATGACTGTGGGGAGGGGTATAGTGTGGCAGTTTTGTATTTCTAATACTATAGTGTTCCTTTAACAGGACCACACATACCATACAGTCTAAGAGGTCTTACTTTAAGTCTCAAAGAAATTAGAGTTTGCCTACAACAGTGGAAATGGTTCTTTATCGTAAGAATAGTAAATATGTGAAATTATTTGCCTAAACAGGATCTTTAAGGATATAATAGTTAATATGTTTGGCAGTGACTTGTTGATCCAATAAGATATCCCATTGCCATTATTGCAATCAAAGCAAATGCACTGAATCTAAAGCAAACAAAAATATGAGAACAGTGTTCTCAGTATTCTCATAAATTAAACATAACTGAGAAAGCTCAAACAACTGAAATGATCATCTAGGATTGCTGTAGGGAACTTCAGATCTGGATTGCCCTTGTGGGTGTGATTAGTCAGCTATTTGATTGGCATAAGTCCTCTTTGTAATGACACAAGTGAGCATAACAACTGACTGGGGACTAACCAAAAGGAAAGAAATTAAAGAAACACTATAGTATTAAGAATATAAACCTGTATTCCTAATGCTATAGAGCCCATATTTTTAGTTCTATCCAGGTCCCTGCTGTGTGCCATAAAAAATAAATAAATTTTAAAAAAATGTAATTACCTTTTTACATTGCCAAGGTTAGTTTGGCACTGCCTACCTCTCCGCCTCCCACAACATCATCGAGGAGGTATGCAATGATCCAATCCAATGTATTCAATGCTTTCCAATGGGTTTCCATGTTATATAACTGGTTTTACTGCAATGTTATACATTCCAGGTTTAAAAGGACACTGTACCCAGACCACTTATTTAAGATGAAACGTCTGGGTGACTTTAGTGCCCCTTTAAATTCTTGGCAATTAATCGCAACAGCCAATAGTAAAACAGCAATATTTTAGTGACCTGGCCACCTTAGAGATTTTTTTCCCATGCCTCTTATTTAATTTCATTTTGGACAACATGTTCTTAAGAAAGCTGTTTATGAATAGATTCCAATTTTTCTACTTATATTTAGGGACAGATTTCCTATTAGGCATACTAATCACCTGTCTACAGGTGCATGTCCTGTTGGGGGTGCCTATTTCCAGCACTAATAAGGTACTTTTTTGGGCTGGTCATGAGAGCTAAGTACCAGAAGCCTTGGTCAATGTTCTTATTAGTCAAGTCAGCCTTTGTTGCTTGATAGCAGAGCTGCCCAGTTATAGATGATGTAATACTCAGTGCTGTCCCAGCTCCAGGGAGCTGCATGTGAGCCTGGACAGGAATAGGAGGAACTCACTTCACATCTGCCACTAACAACTCCTCACACAAGAAATGTCTTGAAAGAAGACCAAGGGCAGCACTGAGTAATGCACACTTTATGATAGTTCCTGCAGCTCTAATATAAATCATAGGAATGTGACTGGACTACAGAAGATATAGGAAGAACACTGAAATGAGTGCATCAACGGGATATTGCAAAAACATTCCTTTCAATTTACAGAATTGACATGTCTGCAGAGTCCTAATAACTAGGGGATAGCACTAATGCATTTAATGATGCTCTCATGCTCTGCTTCTTGGGTATAGTTCCCTGGTGCCCGAAACTCTACTCTAGACTGTCCTGCGGACGATTGGAAGGCCTGGTGTGATTTGCAAATGAGATGTTTAATAATTACTCAAGTAAATATATCTGCTTTGTCATAATAAGGTTTCAGCACAAAATCCAACACACCCATCTACCCATTCAAGAAATCAGATCACGGAATTGGATTTTCTTCGGTCCTTCGTGTAAGTGATATTGAAGTACTAGTCATGTATCTATTTTGGTCTTCCATTGTCAGGGCTATTTACTAGCGTGAGAATCCAAAGTGAATTTTTCAAATTTAAGATCAAAATAGCTGAACTGTAAAAAAAAAAATCTCTAATTTAGCTTTGCTTTCAATTCAGCTAATCTGGCATTCAATTTGAAATTTACTTTGAATTCTCACCCCAGTAAATAACCCTTTCAAATGTCTGCACTCAGCTTGCCAAGTTACTTCAAATTTGGTTTAGTTGTGCATTCCAAGCAGTGGCGTACATACAGGGGTCGCAGCTGTGACCGGGCCCGTCACTACCGAGTGCCCGCCGTCATGTGTTGCGGCACCGGCCCGCATAGTAAAACTGCCAGGGCCACACGTGAAGAGGCCCATCGGGTGGCCAATGCTGTTAGGGCCACCTGATGGGTATAGCTTTCCAGGGTGCCTGGTCAGCACTGCGGCGCTTTAACAGCGCAACTGGGCCCCCTGAGATGACATCAGACGCCGGGAGAAAGTGACTGCCCCAGTCACTCTTCCCAGCTATCAAACAGAGCCGCGTGGGAGGGAGAGAGGAGGGAGTCATAGTGGGAACTCTGATTCCCATCAGGCTGAGCTACCACTGGATCCCAGGGAAGTCTAAAATGTAGGAAACAGGAGGGTGACTAAAATATTTTTTATATGTGTGTGTGTGTGTGTTTGTTTGTATGTATGTTTGTGTGTCTGTATGAATGTTTCTCTGTCTGTGTGTGTGTCTATCTGTGTGTGTCTGTGCATGTGTGTGTTTGTCTGTATATATGTGTGTGTAAGTGTGTTTGTATGTATGTACAGTCAGGTCCATAAATATTGGGACATCGACACAATTCTAATCTTTTTGGCTCTATACACGATCACAATGGATTTGAAATGAAATGAAAGATGTGCTTTAACTGTAGACTTTCAGCTTTAATTTGAGGGTATTTACATCCAAATCAGGTGAACGGTGTAGGAATTACAACAGTTTGTATATGTGCCTCCCACTTTTCAAGGGACCAAAAGTAATGGGACAATTAGCTGCTCAGCTGTTCCATGGCCAGGTGTGTGTTATTCCCTCATTATCCCATTTACAAGGAGCAGATAAAAGGTCCAGAGTTCATTTCAATTGTGCTATTTGCATTTGGAATCTGTTGCTGTCAACTCTCAATATGAGATCCAAAGAGCTGTCACTATCAGTGAAGCAAACCATCATTAGGCTAAAAAAACAAAACAAACCCATCAGAGAGATAGCAAAAAACATTAAGTGTGGCCAAATCAACTGTTTGGAACATCCTTAAAAAGAAAGAATGCACCGGTGAGCTCAGCAACAGCAAAAGACCCGGAAGACCACGGAAAACAACTGTGGTGGATGACCGAAGAATTCTTTCCCTGGTGAAGAAAACACCCTTCACAACAGTTGGCCAGATCAAGAACACTCTCCAGGAGGTAGGTGTATGTGTGTCAAAGTCAACAATCAAGAGAAGACTTCGCCAGAGTGACTGTAGAGGCTTCGCCACAAGATGTAAACCATTGGTGAGCCTCAAAAACAGGAAGGCCAGATTAGAGTTTGCCAAACAACATCTAAGAAAAGCCTTCACAGTTCTGGAACAATATCCTATGGACAGATGAGACCACGATCAACTTGTACCAGAGTGATGGGAAGAGAATAGTATGGAGAAGGAAAGGAACTGCTCATGATCCAAAGCATACCACCTCATCAGTGAAGCATGGTGGTAGTGTCATGGCGTGGGCATGTATGGCTGCCAATGGAACTGGTTCTCTTGTATTTATTGATGATGTGACTGCTGACAAAAGCAGCAGGATGAATTCTGAAGTGTTTCGGGCAATATTATCTGCTCATATTCAGCCAAATGCTTCAGAACTCATTGGACGGCACTTCACAGTGCAGATGGACAATGACCCGAAGCATACTGCAAAAGCAACCAAATAGTTTTTTAAGGGAAAGAAGTGGAATGTTATGCAATGGCCAAGTCAATCACCTGACCTGAATCCGATTGAGCATGCATATCACTTGATGAAGACAAACCTGAAGGGAAAATGTCACAAGAACAAGCAGGAACTGAAGACAGTTGCAGTAGAGGCCTGGCAGAGCATCACCAGGAATGAAACCCAGCGTCTGGTGATGTCCATGCGTTCCAGACTTCAGGCTGTAATTGACTGCAAAGGATTTGCAACCATGTATTAAAAAGTGAAAGTTTGATTTATGACTGTTAATCTGTCCCATTACTTTTGGTCCCTTAAAAAGTGGCAGGCACATATACAAACTGTTGTAAATCCTACACCGTTCACCTGATTTGGATGTAAATACCCTCAAATTAAAGGTGAAAGTCTGCAGTTAAAGTACATCTTGTTCGTTTCATTTCAAATCCATTGTTCTGGTGTATAGATTACAATTGTGTCGATGTCCCAATATTTATGGACCTGACTGTATGTATGTATGTATATATGTGTCTGTGTGTGTGTGTGTGTGTATGTGTCTGTGTGCTTGTATGTATATGTGCTTGTATGTATGTGTGTTTGTTTGTTTGTATGTATGTGTGTGTCTGTATATATGTGCCTCTGTGTGTGTTTGTATGTATGTGTGTTTGTATGTGCGTGCACAGTGGCGTGCATACAGGGGTCACAGCTGCGACCAGGCCCGTCACTCCAGGAAGCTTGGCCGCCCCGCGGACCGCTGCGTCCGGGTGCTTGCCGCCATGTTTTGCGACCCATGGACTCCAGCCCTCAAAACACATTCATTGAGATTAAGTTGTTTTGAGGGAAGAAAGTTCCAGTAAGTGTAAAATGGAGCCTTTATTGGTTTAAGACTGTTTCTTAATATACTCCACTTATACAGGGAGTGCAGAATTATTAGGCAAATGAGTATTTTGACCACATCATCCTCTTTATGCATGTTGTCTTACTCCAAGCTGTATAGGCTCGAAAGCCTACTACCAATTAAGCATATTAGGTGATGTGCATCTCTGTAATGAGAAGGGGTGTGGTCTAATGACATCAACACCCTATATCAGGTGTGCATTATTATTAGGCAACTTCCTTTCCTTTTGCAAAATGGGTCAAAAGAAGGACTTGACAGGCTCAGAAAAGTCAAAAATAGTGAGATATCTTGCAGAGGGATGCAGCACTCTTAAAATTGCAAAGCTTCTGAAGCGTGATCATCGAACAATCAAGCGTTTCATTCAAAATAGTCAACAGGGTCGCAAGAAGCGTGTGGAAAAACCAAGGTGCAAAATAACTGCCCATGAACTGAGAAAAGTCAAGCGTGCAGCTGCCACGATGCCACTTGCCACCAGTTTGGCCATATTTCAGAGCTGCAACATCACTGGAGTGCCCAAAAGCACAAGGTGTGCAATACTCAGAGACATGGCCAAGGTAAGAAAGGCTGAAAGACGACCACCACTGAACAAGACACACAAGCTGAAACGTCAAGACTGGGCCAAGAAATATCTCAAGACTGATTTTTTCTAAGGTTTTATGGACTGATGAAATGAGAGTGAGTCTTGATGGGCCAGATGGATGGGCCCGTGGCTGGATTGGTAAAGGGCAGAGAGCTCCAGTCCGACTCAGATGCCAGCAAGGTGGAGGTGGAGTACTGGTTTGGGCTGGTATCATCAAAGATGAGCTTGTGGGGCCTTTTCGGGTTGAGGATGGAGTCAAGCTCAACTCCCAGTCCTACTGCCAGTTCCTGGAAGACACCTTCTTCAAGCAGTGGTACAGGAAGAAGTCTGCATCCTTCAAGAAAAACATGATTTTCATGCAGGACAATGCTCCATCACACGCGTCCAAGTACTCCACAGCGTGGCTGGCAAGAAAGGGTATAAAAGAAGAAAATCTAATGACATGGCCTCCTTGTTCACCTGATCTGAACCCCATTGAGAACCTGTGGTCCATCATCAAATGTGAGATTTACAAGGAGGGAAAACAGTACACCTCTCTGAACAGTGTCTGGGAGGCTGTGGTTGCTGCTGCACGCAATGTTGATGGTGAACAGATCAAAACACTGACAGAATCCATGGATGGCAGGCTTTTGAGTGTCCTTGCAAAGAAAGGTGGCTATATTGGTCACTGATTTGTTTTTGTTTTGTTTTTGAATGTCAGAAATGTATATTTGTGAATGTTGAGATGTTATATTGGTTTCACTGGTAATAATAAATAATTGAAATGGGTATATATTTGTTTTTTGTTAAGTTGCCTAATAATTATGCACAGTAATAGTCACCTGCACACACAGATATCCCCCTAACATAGCTATAACTAAAACAAACTAAAAACTACTTCCAAAAATATTCAGCTTTGATATTAATGAGTTTTTTGGGTTCATTGAGAACATGGTTGTTGTTCAATAATAAAATTAATCCTCAAAAATACAACTTGCCTAATAATTCTGCACTCCCTGTACATAAAATATGTGATACTTACAAAATTGGTGCTGCAGCCTGTGTCAATGTTTGAAGGTTACTCTGCGTTGCTCCCACTTCTCCAGGCTGTGACTGTTTCCTTGACCAAAAAGCTCAAAATTCAAATGTTTCATGAATATTTCTGTGAGGATTCATGAATGAGAATTAGAATAGCTCAAATAATATGATATTTATTCATTTAAACATGCATCCGTGTACAAGATTTTTGAAATATTTTGAAATATTAGGCTTGCTTGCTCTATGCTCAGGGCACTTGGATCCTGCAGAGAACTTTAAAACAGTGTTGTCTGTATTGACTGCCCTGCCTACCAGTATTCCACTTCACATAATGCTGATGGTGTTGGAGGTGTTAAATATGTGTAGATACTGTCATTGTGCACATATTTGTATGTTTGTGTATCTGTTTTGGGAAAACATCTACTAAAATATAGCAAATAACTCTCCAGTCATTTGAATGGTCACAATATACAATGATCAGCCAGAGCATTAAAACCACCTACCTAATATCATGTAGGTTAAGGCATGAACTCCACAAGACCTCTGAACTTGTCCAGTGGAATCTGGCACAAGACACTAGATCCTTTAAGCCCTACATGTTGCGAGGTGCCGCCTCCATGGATTGGATTTGTTGTTCCAGCACATGCCACAGATGCTCAATCGGATCAAACTGAGATCTGGAGAGTTTGGAGGCCAAGGCAACACCTTGAACTCTTTGCCATGTTTCTTGAACCATTCCTGAACAATTTTTGTAGTGTGGCAAGGTGGATTTTCCTGCTGAAAGAGCACTGCCATCAGGGAACACCATTGCCATAAAGTGGTGTCTGTGCTCTACAACAATGTTTACATAAGTAATACGTGTCAAAGTAACATCTACGTGAATGCTAGGACTCCTTTTTTATCATGGCCAAGTTTTTCAGCAATTTGAGCTACAGTAGCTCTTTGGTGTGATCGAACCAGATTGGCTAGCCTTTACTTGCCACATGCTTCAATAAGACTTGGGCGCCCATGACACTATGCTGGTTTACTGCTTGTCCTTCTTTGCACCACTTTTGGTAGGCACTAACCACTGTATACCGGAAACACCCCACTAGACTTGCCATTTGGAGAATCCCTGACCCAGTTGTCTAGCCATCACTATTTAGTCCATGTCAAAGTCACTCAGATCTTTTCATTTGTTCATATGTCCTGATTCCAACACATGAGATTTAAGAACTGTCTGTTCAATTGCTGCCTAATATATCCCATCCAATTGTAATGATATAATCAATGTAATTCACTTAATCTCTCAGTGGTTTTAGTGTTGTGGCTGATCAGTGTATGTGACATGAGCAAGCCAAATACAGATAAACTTTAAAGATAAAGTTCAACAAAAAGTGGGAGGGTAAACTATTGAACATGTATAAACACATATATAAGTAGTATGGCATTTCAAAATGAATCCTGTATCATTTGAGCTAAAAGCAACCATGAGAAACAGGTCAAGCAAAGATAAAATGTGAAAGATATGTTAAACAGCAAATGAAGAGGGGGCAGAGTCAAGCAGCAGAGCCATATGGTCACATGCATTCAGAGCTCCGTGTACATCCAGCTATTTTCACCCTCTTTTGGGAACCAAACCTTACTTGAGGCAGCTGGTGACACATGAGCTAGGTGGCAGAGACAAGATGGGTCGATAGACCAAGAAACAAAAGTCGGATAAACCCCGGGTGGGCCTCAATATCGGAGACCTCTGGCGGCAGGTGCAAGGCACGACTGGGCCCAAGATTGCTGCTTACCTGGAGGCCTACTTGGAGTTTTCTGATGACCTATCCCTGGGGGACGAGGAGGTTGTATTACCTGCCAGGCTGACACAGGCACCGGTGCCCCTGGACCCAGACACAGCACCAGTAGCGATGACAGTGCTGAAAGCAGACCTGCTTCTAGCAGACCTGCAAAAAAATATACTGACCGATGAGGACAGATCTCCAGGGCCTGACAGGCTGGCTGAATGCAGTGGAGACAACATCTGGAGAGCATACTCAGAACCTGGCCTCTATGCACCAGATGATACTGGGGCTTCAACGGGAGCACAATCTCTATGACCGGCAACTTGCAACTATGGAGGATCAGCGATGCAAGAATAACATAAAAATACGAAGCATTCTGGAGAAGATGCCGACAGCGGAGTTACCACACATGCTGAGGTGCCTGCTGTCAGCTCTCTTGTCCCCACGACAGGCTCTCTTGCCCCCACGACAGATGGCTGTTTCAGCATTCCCAAATCACCGAGAGCTCTAGACATGGCCCCTCGGGACCTGATGGGTAATTTTCAGAATGCGGCAGTGCTGGCTGGTGGTGAAGAAACAAACACCAAATGGATGTCTCTCACATTCTATTCTGACCTCTCAGTAGGCATGCTTTCCTGGCGGCCATTCCTAGGAACTTTCATGACTCTCGTCAGGAAGCACAGCATCCAGTATTGTTGGTGCCTGTCTTGCGCATTAATGTTCCTCAAAGTGGACTCCCAGCACTCCCAGAGGCCGCAGTCCTTTTGGCTACACTGGGACTTCCGCAGGAATCTCTCACACCAACAGGGCCCAAGGCAGCTACATCTTCAGCCCACCACTGGGATCTTACGAATGTGGCCACGTTCATCCCACTGCAGTCCACACGGGACACATATGCATCAGTGACCACTTGATTACCCCACTGAGACAGGCCACCTACCCCACTTTCGGTCTTAATTTACTAAAACCAACTTTTGGTTTACTTAATTTTTTTTCACCAGTTTAATAGTCCCTCCGCAACTTAGGACCCATTCCTCTCTCATAGGGATTGGTCACTGGACCATATAAATACCCCCCCCCCTTAGATGCAGATGTAAAACTACTATAACTAGCCATATATTCCAGCATTTGTTTGGTTATGGTTTATCGTTAGGAAGTACGGTTGTTCTAATAAAACCCTGTTAACCTACAGTATTCTCCTAGATGTATACTGCACATTCTAGAATACAGCACCTAAGGGGATAAAAAAACACAAACAATTCACTGTTTGTCTTGCAATTTCTATGAAGCATGATGACATGTACTTGTATAATCCAGTGTACAACTACTTTGCTAATATTAATGTATCACAATGTTTTTAACATAAATTGATCCAAAAATAAAGAATTTCAAAAAAAGTAAATAAATAAATTGTATGTAATGAATCAGATGGGGATGAAGTCTTATTGGTAGAAACAGGGGATATCCATTAATAGTAGGCATATGTTACAAGCCCCCAAACATTAATACTGATGGGGAAGAGCAACTGCTATGTCAAATTAATAAGGTTGCACCACTGAAAATATGGTAATTTTAGGAGATTTTAATTATCCAGACATTGATTGGGCCAAAGTGACTGTTGTACAGTTAAGGGAAACAAGTTTTTGAACCTGATAAATTATAACTTCATATTTACAACTAAGGCACTGGCAGGAATTATCTATTGGCAAAAGCATAGAGAATTAATGGAAGGTCTTTAAACAAATTCTACAAAAGTAAATGTCTCAATACACACCATTTGGAAACAAGTACAAAAGAAGCAAATTTAAACCAAACTCAGTACAAGGGTCAGTCAAATGATATAAGAGAAGGAAAGGGCATCCTATAACAAAATGTAAGCATGCCAATGAAAAGCTCATAGTCAAAGAGAGCAAGACCAATCCCAAAATGTTTTTTTATTACGTTAATACCAAAATGTTTAAGTGTGAAAGTGTTGGTACATTGGAAAGGGAGATGGGTGAGTTAATCAAGGATGTTCAGAACAAAAGCAGAAATTCTAAATAACTATTTTTCTTTAGTATATAGGGAAGAAGATCTGCAAATCCCTGTTATAAAAGCCTTACAGCAAATATGTGATTGGTGAGCACACTATAAAGTGCTTCAGAAATTAAATAACATTACACAAAGCTCCAGAGCCAGATTGTATTCATCCACATGTGCTTAGGGAGCTTAGTGTAGAAATATCCATAGCACTGTTTTTAATTTTTAAGGATTCTTTTCTTTCAGGAATTGTACCAGAGGATTGGAGAAAAGCAAATATGGTGCCAATATTTAAAAAAGGTTCAAAAGTTTAACCTGGGAACTACAGACCCGTGAGCTTAACAGCTGTGGTTAGGAAATTATTTGAAGAGCTGTTAAGGTATAATATTCAAAGTTTCATTGTGAACGAAAATATCCTTAGCAGTAATCATCATGGTTTTATGAAAGTCAGGTCATGCCAACCTAACTTAATCGTGTTCTATGAAGAAGTTAGTAGAAATATAGATCATGGTGATCCTGTAGATGTTGGATTTTGCTAGGGCATTTCATACAGTTCCACACAAAAGGTTACTAGAAATCAGTTGGTTTAGATGAAAAACAGTGTTCTTGGATAGAACACTGACTTAAAGGACCACTCTAGGCACCCAGACCACTTCAGCTTAATGAAGTGGTCTGAGTGCCAGGTCCAGCTAGGGTTAACCCATTTTTTCATAAACATAGCAGTTTCAGAGAAACTGCTATGTTTATGAATGGGTTAAGCCTTCCCCCTAATCCTCTAGTGGCTGTCTCATTGACAGCCACTAGAGGCGCTTGCGTGCTTCTCACTGTGATTTTCACGGTGAGAGCACGCAAGCGTCCATAGGAAAGCATTGTAAATGCTTTCCTATGCGACGGGCTGAATGCGCGCGCAGCTCTTGCCGCGCGTGCGCATTCAGCCCAGGAGGAGGAACGGAGGAGGAGAGAAGGAGGAGAGCTCCCTGCCCAGCGCTGGAAAAAGGTAAGTTTAAACCCCTTTCCCCCTTCCAGAGCCGGGTGGGAGGGGGTCCCTGAGGGTGGGGGCACCCTCAGGGCACTATAGTGCCAGGAAAACGAATATGTTTTCCTGGCACTATAGTGGTCCTTTAAGGAAAGAATGCAAAGAGTAGTTGTAAATGGAAAATGTTCAAATTGGATAAAAATGATAAGTTGCGTGCCTTAGGTGTCTGACCTGGGTTCTCTTTAACCTGTTCATAAATTGTCGTGATGTGGGCATTGAAAGTCATTTGTTGGTGTTTGCAGATGACACAAAACAAGATTAGAAAAGACAGCCTGAACATGATATATTTTCACTACAGAGGGATTTAGGTAAATTATGGGACTGGACAGGCAAGTGGCAGGTGAAATTCAATACAGATTAATGCAAAGACATGCATTTTGGATTAAGGAACCCAAAAGCCACTTATACATTAAATGGAGTTAGGGATAACATTAAATGAAAAGGACTTGGGACCAGTCATAGATCAAAAACAAGGCAACAGTATGCAATGCCGGTCTGCCATTGCAAAAACTAGTAAGGTGTTATCGTGAATTTCGTGAAAAAGCGATATTGATTCACGTGATCAAAACATAATTTTGCTGATTATTTTTAAATCAATTGTACGTCCCCACCTTGAATATGCATTGCAATTTAGGTCACCAGGTTTAAAGAAGTATATTGCAGAACATAAAAACGTGCAGAGGCAAACTACAAAATTAGTAAGGGGGGGTGGAAAACATTAGGTATGAGAAGAGACTAGAAAAATTGCATTTGATTTAATTAGAAAAAAGGCTCCTCAAAGGGGATATGATAGCTTTATACAAATATATACAGGGTCAATACAAACCTCTATGTGCTAACCTGTTCATTAGCAGGAAAGTACAACAGACCCACTGATAGTGAAAGAAAATAAATTTCGCTTACAGCAGAGGACACGGTCCTTTTGAGTAACAATAAAGATGTGTAATTCTTTGGATTTATTTTTTGCATAAACAGAATATTCATGGATATAATTGATATATATGTAAATAGGTTGTTGATCAAAGAAGAAATCTAATTGCCATTATAGAGTCAAGAAGGATTTTCTTTCTCTTTTTGTGGCCTAATTGCAAATGGATACAATTTAGTTTTTTGCCTTCTTTTGGGGATCTCCAGCATAAAATAATGGGCTTCAAGGTTGAACTTGATAGACTTTAGTATTTTTTCAATTTAGACAACTATGTAACTATGTAACAGGAATGCTTATGCCATTTTGCATTTCCAGAGCTAAAACTGTAAGCAACTGACCAGATATAAAATATTCAACTAGATGGAAAAAAAATAGGTACACAAAAATGCTACACACATAAGTTACATACAATTGACACAGCAAAGTGGAAGCAATAATTCCTTTGCTTTATCTGAGCCAGTAATGCTGAAGAGTTTTTTTACAATCATATTGGGTTCACTCTGCATGATAACCTTTACAATGGCGCAAAGTTGTGAAGGTGCCCAGAGTAACTTTTTAAGCTTGGATTAGTAGTAATTCAGATGAGTTTGAGTGATTTTTATGTAAGTCATATCATCTGGACAGATGGATCTTTTAGCTAGAAGCAGTGGGAGATCTCATTGTAGTGATGAAATTGAAAGTAGACATGCAACCTTGTGGTTCACCTATGTCAGTGCTACGAGTCAACTGAGAACAGGACTATGTAGGTAGAGACTAGATCAGTTGGTTCACTTTCCTGTTATTCTCTTTCCTGGTCTTGTTTTGGTGTTGTCCACTTCACAATCCTTGGAGCCCTATCCAAGCAGGGTGAGTGTGAGGTTCATGGACATGGTACTGCATACTAAACTTTTCTTATATTGCATTCTCAAAACAGTATAGTATACCAATAAATTATAACAGTAGAGTGTCCTTTCTGTACATGATCCCGCATCGGCCACCAGTGTGATAATACATTGTAACTAATAATGCATCTAATGTCTAGTGCAGGGGGGTTAGGCAACCTTTAGCTCTCCAGATGTTGTGGACTATATCTCACATAATGCTCTTACAGCAATAATGCTGGCAACTCATTAGGGAAGATGTAGTCCACAACAACTGGAGTGCTGAAGGATGCCTAACCCCGGTCTAGTGTATAAATGATCATCCTCTGGTACCAGTGTTATACACATAATAAGATGGGGCAACATAGAACATGTAAACAGTTAACTTGGGATTTTGAAGCATTCAGGTCTCCATTTTCCCAGGATACAAAGTAAATCTATATTATTGTCTGATGTAGGGGGCAAATAATTTCTTTATTTGTCAATCACATTTTAACTGTTTCACTGCTAGATTTTTATTGTTTTTATTTTTTATTAAATAGTAGCATAACATGGTAGACATAGCAAGCATACAAAAGCAGGATAAAACAGCAATTCCATGTTAAAATGCTATGTACATTATATGGATTTATAAATGTTTTTTATTTATTTATTATTTGCTGAAATAATGGGGCAATAAAAATATTTAAAGACTACATGTCATCCCTTTACCTTGTTATATTTCAATTAGTGTCCAAAATGTTAACAAAAGAAGCAGAAATAATATTTTTGACTGATACAGTAGGTGCTGCAAAGAAAAAGAATTAAAACTGGTCAAATACTCTGCTTACGGGTATTTTGTAACAAAACTGAAAGCATGTTGTGGGTGTATATTCCTAGGAATGCAACCAAAATGTAATATATATATATATATATATATATATATATATATATATATATAATTATTGTAAAATGCCCACATACTGTAAATACAGTTAGACCAAACATCTGTACAATAGAGGACAATTGCAATGTATCAATGTCAATATGTTCTGTGTGCTTTTTTTCTCCTTGGTTGTTAAAATGACGTCAGGAAGTTTGACCTCCTAATATTGCTGTAGAGTGTTATGGGATTTTCTTGCCAACACTTTCATCCATCTCACAAAGTGTCCTTGGCATCATAGGGTTGGAGTTGGGGCTTGGGATTTAGTTTGGAGGGGGGTGGCAATTAAGTGTTCGTTAACTCCTTTTTTTTCATTAGGGTATATCTAAAAACAGCTTTCAAAAGCTGCAGATGTGTTGCCTTTGCAAGTCCTTCTTTTTTTCCCCAGCACAGAGTTTCTGTCAGACTTTCAGCATGTGGTCACAGCTTTCCAATGCTTCTCAATGAGGTATAGTACATCTCATTGCGAAGTGAGGAAGGCATGTATGCTAGCACAACACGTCGGCCACTTCCATTATCTTTGTGGCGCTTTCTGATTGGTCGGGAGATGTTTCTGCCTACAATTTCTGTTGAAATCAGACTCCAGACTCTTTAAACACTCCAGCAAGTGAAAGGGTGTTTGACGTGTTCTTTTAACAACATCATTATCACTCTAGCAATGATTATAATATGCAATTAGTAAAACCTATATATGTTTCATAACTTTCCTGGGAACTCTATCGGGCCAGATTGGGGTGATCTGATGCTTTAAAATATGGACTGGTAATTGTATGGCTCTGTATGGAGGAATTAAATATACTCTTTGCCTGGACTCCAGATTAACCACATACTCAAGGAAAGTGTCAAAAATATTACATCTCTATTTTGAACACTACCCAAAATTAAACAGGCACTAAAGGTTAGAGAAAAGTGGTGGTGCCTAATTCTTCATTCAATCCTCCAGCATACTTTTGCTACCATAACACAAACAGCAATTGGAATAAGAGAGATTACTTTATGGAGTCATAAATGTTTTGCAGAGTGTAAATCTACTAAATTTTTCTTTCTCCTGTATGATGTTTCACTGAGGATTTCACATTCCTAGATAATTCAAAACCAATGTGAAAATCACCTTTCCAAAAAATCATTGGCTTGTTCTTCGTGTTTATTTTAGTAACTTGGTGGTCGGCTGCAAAGAAAGCTCAAAAGGTTGAAGGAATCTGAGTTGGTGTTCTTGTTTATTTGGTTGTTTACATGTTTTTATTTTATTCTACCTTTCCCCAGAATAGGGAACACGTATTCTAATATGCCACTATAATCGCTAATATTAAAGGAACCGGAACAACACCTGTTATGTTTGAAATTAGGTTCTACCATGGATTTCTGGAGTCCTTCACTCCTAGTAGTGGAGCCTGGGTTTAAAGAGGGGCCCTGGAGCTGGTAGCCATCTGGTAAGATAACCGCAAAGAACTTTATATTTTTTCTATTGAAAGGGTTAAAAATGAAGTACATGACTTCTGTACGTGGACAAGACTACATTATTAGAAATAGCAATTGTTAAATGCCAACTTAAAGTGAAACCTGTCACAGACCATCAAAAAAATAACCTTTTGACCTCGCAACATTAATGTTGTTGGTTGCTGAATAAGCAATATCGTGTTTAGCTGATGTGATCTTGTCATGTTACTTCTGCTGTAACTTCTGTCTATAAATATGTTTGCCTGAGCCTTAATACATTGGTAGTTGCCCAATTTGAAACACTTTGTCTGTGTATCACTGAAAGGCTCTCCCCGAACGTTTGGTCCAAAAGTGAGGTGCATGGAACTCATTGCCCAGCAGTGTATTATGACCCCAACATCTATTTAATGTTGTGCGTCTTTAGAACAGCCCGAGGACCCCATTTGCATGGTACACTTTCACCACATTTTGCTTGGGATAGCTTTACTGCTGGTTCTAAGTAGCACTTATCTAGATGACTCCCAATCTTCCCAGGCACTCTCTACTTTGAAGTTGTTAAAATATTATGATAACCATGTAGGTCCCTGTACACTAATATTGTAAAGCTCTTTCAGTGTTTCTTTCTCTGGCTCTGCTTCTTCTCCCCAACTCCTCTCTGTTTGTGTCCCCCAAGGTTCAGTCCTTGGTCCCCCACTGTTCTTCATCTATACTGCCTCCCTTGGTAAACTCATTAGCTCCTTTGGCTTCCAATATCATTTCTATGCAGATGACACACAAATCTACCTGTCCACTCCTGATCTCTCTCCGTCCCTCTTGACTAGTGTCTCTGACTGCCTCTCTGCTATTTCTAACTGGATGGCTGCCCACTTCCTTAAACTAAACTTGACCAAAACTGAAATTATGGTCTTTCCTCCCTCAAGTGTTGTTACTCCTGTGTCTGTCTCCCTCCAAGTTAACGGTGCTACCATCAGCTCCACCACGCAGGCTCGCTGCCTAGGTGTTCTCTTTGACTCCGACCTCTCCTTCAAGCCTTATGTTCAATCAATCCTGTCATTTCCATCTCAAAAACATTGCATGCATCCGCCCCTACTTAACACCAGATGCGACTAAGGTGTTGGTCTATTCCACTGTCCTTTTTCGCCTTGACTACTGTAATCCGCTTCTCAGTGGTCTTACGTGCTCCCGCCGTTACAGTCTCTAATGAATGCGGCGGCGAGGCTCACCTTCCTGTCCGCCCGCACCTCCCATGCCTCACCCTTCTGTCAGTCCCTACATTGGCTTCCTATAAAATATAGAGCTCAATTTAAAATTCTGGTTCTTGCTTTCAAATCTCTACATAATGCTGCTCCCACCTATCTCTCCTCCCTTATACACAAGTATGTCCTGTCTAGGCCCTTACGATCTGCTGAAGACTTACGTCTATTTTCTGTCCATACTCCCACCTCTGATGCTCGCCTTCAAGATTTCTTGAGGGCTGCACCGTTCCTGTGGAACCCGCTTCCCTCCTCCGTTAGATGCTCACTCAGTCTCCACTCCTTCAAAAAATCGTTAAAAACCCACTTCTTCATAAAACCCACTTCTTCAATTAAACTGTTAATAGCTCCTGACTGATTCCTCTTCTGCAACTGTCACTAGTCTAATACTATCCTTACCTTTTTGTGTAATTTTACCCCACTCCCTCTAGCATGTAAACTCATTGAGCAGGGCCCTCAACCCCTCTGTTCCTGTGTGTCCAACTTTTCTGGTTACAACTACATGTCTGTTCGTCCACCCATTGTAAAGCGCTGCGGAATTTGATGGTGCTATATAAATAGCATAATAATAATAATAATAATAATAATAAAGCTAAGTTGTCTATATTGTCTAAACATGGTAGTTTACTACTTAGGTTATAAACCCCCTCATTCCTCACCCCCTCCTTCCCTTTCACTCCCCACCCCACACACACACAAAAACACTGAAACGCTTACTAGAAATATATATATATATCTACCAAAACTAGATGTGGTATTTTTCATGTCAACAAAGGTATAAACATGAAATAAAAAAATCAAACCTTTTTGAGGACCATAGGTATTCTTTAATATAAGTAGGGGCTAGGTAGCCAACACATCAGAATTTGTTGTAGTTTGTGGATCCCTAGTCTCCCCAGGATGGACATTTTTGCTGTTTCATGCACATGGACCATTTTATTGTGGTGAAAGTAAAAGCAATATTTTTATCGGATTATCCTGGTGTTTGGTTTGGATGCCGATATCTTATCAGGTTTCAGTATACAGGTGATACTCAAAAAATTTGAATATCGTGCAAAAGTTCATTTATTTCAGTAATGCAACGTAAAAGGGGAAACTAATATATGAGATAAACGCATTACATGCAAAGCAAGATAGTTCAAGCCGTGATTTGTCATAAGTACGATGATTATGGCTTACAGCTCATGAAAACCCCAAATCCACAATCTCAGTAAATTAGAATATTGTGAAAAGGTGCAATATTCTAGGCTCACATTGTCCCACTCTAATCAGCTAAGTAAGCCATAACACCTGCAAAGGGTTTCTGAGCCTTTAAATTGTGTCTCAGTGTGGTTCAGTAGGAATCACAATCATGGGGAAGACTGCTGACCTGACAGTTATGCAGAAAACCATCATTGACACCCTCCATAAGGAGGGAAAGCCTCAAAAGGTAATTGCGAAGGAAGTTGGATGTTCCCAAAGTGCTGCATCAAAGCACATTAATAGAAAGTTATGTGGAAGGGAAAAGTGTGGAATAAAAAGGTGCACAAGCAGCAGGGATGACCGCAGCCTGGAGAGGATTGTCAGGAAAAGGCCATTCAAAAGTGTTGGGGACTTTCACAAGGAGTGGACTGAGGCTGGAGTCAGTGCATCAAGAGCCACCACACACAGACGGATCCTGGACATGGGCTTCAGATGTCGTATTCCTCTTGTCAAGCTGCTCCTGAACAACAAACAACGTCAGAAGCGTCTTACCTGGGCTAAAGAAAAACAGACCTGGTCTGTTGCTCAGTGGTCCAAAGTCCTCTTTTCTGATGAGTGCAACTTTTGCATCTCATTTGGAAACCAAGGACCCAGAGTCTGGAGGAAGAATGGAGAGGCACACACTGTAAGATGCTTGAAGTCCAGTGTGAAGTTTCTACAGTCTGTGTTGATTTGGGGAGCCATGTCAACAGCTGGTGTTGGTCCACTGTGCTTCATTACGTCCAGGGTCAACGCAGCCATCTACCAGGAGATTTTGGAGCACTTCATGCTTCCTTCCGCAGACGAGCTTTATGGGGATGCTGACTTCATTTTCCAGCAGGACTTGGCACCTGCCCACACTGCCAAAAGCACCAAAGCCTGGTTCAATGACCATGGGATTACTGTGCTTGATTGGCCAGCAAACTTGCCTGACCTGAACCCCATAGAGAATCTATGGGGCATTGCCAAGAGAAAGATGAGAGACATGAGACCGAACAATGCAGAAGAGCTGAAGGCCGCTATTGAAGCATCCTGGTCTTCCATAACACCTCAGCAGTGCCACAGGGTGATAGCTTCCATGCCACGCCACATTGAGGCAGTAATTGCTGCAAAAGGGGCCCAAACCAAGTACTGAGTCCATATGCATGCTTATACTTTTCAGAGGTCTGATATTGTTCTATGTACACTCCTTGTTTTATTGATTGCATGTAATTTACTGAGATTGTGGATTTGGGGTTTTCTTGAGCTGTAAGCCAGTCCTGAGAATAGTAGAAAATCTTGTTAGCAGCCAAGAAAAAGTATTTAACCCTATTTACCTTTTTAACTTTTGCTCACTGTCACTTTGCAGGTTCTCCTTTTAAGTTAATCTTTTTTTTTTTTTTTGTCTTTGTTTCCCTTGTTTTTTAAAATTTGTATTAATCTTTTTTTTACATAAGAAAACAGTGGGACGTGATCTCTGATAAGCTTTGGCAATAGAAGAAGCTTTATCACCTCAAACTTATCTTTCTCCTATTGTTTCCACATTCAGAATGCGTTCTTCTGTTTTCTTCATTTCTCATCTATTTCTCTTTAAAACATAAGATAAACTAGGGACTACTTTGTCTTATGTATTTATCCTATGTTTGACAATCATGACAGAGGGTAGAGCTTTAAAGGACACTATAGTCACCAGAACAACTATAGCTTATTGAATTTGTATTAGTCAGTCCCTGCAGGCTTTTTGCAGTAAACACTGTCTTTTCAGAGAAAAGGCAGTGTATACATTGCTCCCTAAGAACACCTCTAGTGGCCACTACAGATGCTTCCTGAGTCCGTGCTAAACACTGTGCAGCACTGACATTCAGTGTCCCAACGCTTTGCATGGAGACGCTGAACTTTCACCATAGAGATACATTGATTCAATACATCTCTATGAGGATATGATGATTGGCCAAACCAGCATTTGGCTCCCACCCCCGCCACCTTTCCTGTAGGAAAGCATTTAATTGGCTGAGATTATCAATTCTGATGATGTCAGCCAAGGAGGCAGATCGGTGATGGGTCCAGCGCCGGCTACCTGCACGGCACTGAAAATAAGGTAAATTTTCTTACCTTTTAGGGGTTGCAAGCCACCGAAATGATCTTTTGACACTACAGAATTACACCTTTGTGTTCCTTACCCTATAGTGTTCCTTTAAGGCAAAGACAAAATCGAATTCCATTGTCAAGAATGTTGAGCTTGACCTAAGCTCCCTTTGTCAAGATTGTTAATTGTAGAAAAAAATCTAGTCCCTAATTTGCCTTATGTTTTAAAGAGAAATAGATCAGAATGGCAAACTGTAGACCTCATGGACAGAGGAGAACAAAATAATAGTACCCAAATATTGAGAATGTTTGCAAGAAAGAAAAGATAATAAATATAAATACAGACTAATGACACTGGGGCGGGCGTATAATCATTAGGATGCATGACTCATAAGAAAAGGAAAACTGAAAGTAAAAAGAAGAAACAAACATGACAGTGCTACTTGTTTATGTTGACATGCAGAGCAAAAAAAATATTTTGGAAAATGTCTCCAAAGAAAGTTTTCTATTGTTATTCCAATATCATTTCTATGCGGATGACACGCAAATCTATCTGTTCTCTCCTGACCTTTCGATGTCCCTCTTGACTTGAGTCTCTGACTGCCTCTCTGCTATTTCCAACTGGATGTGTTGCTACTGTGCCTGTCTCCCTCCAAGTGAATTGTACTAACATTAGCTCAACCTCGCAGGCTCACTTCCTTGGTGTTCTCTTCAACTCCAAGCTCTCCTTCACCCCTCATGTCCAGTCACTCACCAAGACCTGCCGCTTCTATCTCAGAAACATTTCTTGCATCTGCCCCATCTAACGCCCGATGCAGAAAAAGTGCTTGTCTGTACCGCTATCATCTCTTTTTATCATCATCTGTTTACTACTGCAATCCGCTTCTCAGTGGTCTTATGCCTTCCCAGCTGGCCCTGTTACAGTCTATAATGAAGATGAGTGGTGAGACTCATCTTATTGTCCGCTAGCACCTCCCATGCCTCCCCCTTCAGTCAGTTCTTACATTGGCTTCCCTTTAGATATAGGGGTCAATTTAAAATTCTGGCGCTTGCTTACAAATCGCTGCACAACGCTGCTCCTACCTATCCTCACTGATACACAGGCCCCTACGCTCTGCCAAAGATCTGCGTCTATTCTCTGTTCATACTCACACCTCTGATGTCCGCCTCCAATACTTTTCCATGGCTGCACCATCCCTGTGGAACTCCCTTCACTGCTCTGTTAGCCTCTAAAACAGTTCCTTCAAAAGATCATTAAAAAATCGCTTTCTCTCTCCGCACCTTGTTAACCCACCCTGCTTCCTCTCCTGCAACTCCCTCACCCAATAAACTAACCCTTTACTGTTAACTACTCTAGTACTTTTTCACATACATTACTTTTTTTGCCACTTTACCCCACTCCCTCTAGGATGTAGTCTCATTTGAGGTCCCTTAATACCCTCAGTTCCTGTGTGTCCACCTCATCTTGTTGCAAATATATATCTGTTAGTCCACCTATTGTACAGCGTTATGAAATTTGTTGGTGCTTTAGAAATAATAATAATAATCAGAAAACACTGAAAAGCACGGTTAAAGGAACACTCTATTTGAAAATAAATAGTTTTTAATTAGACGTGTTGCTGCTGTACTTTAGACTTATGACCCCCTTTACTTTTTGGAAGAAAAAATAAATAAATAAAAAAGAACTGGAATCCTTTATTCCAGGATACACTACTCACTGCTGATAAAGTTATCAATTCTAATTACTTTTGTCCTATCAGATACTTCTCTAGAATATACACCAAAAGCATTAGAATAATATCACCCACACCTGGAATTAATAGTTCAGTGAAAACAACACTTATCTCAATGGACAGTGGTGACAGCTTCCTCCAGGGATATCTGATAACGTATCCCTTAAAACACAAAATAGATGCATCTATACTTCTTTTACAGAAGCATTAAAGACAGACTGTGCTTGTGTGGCAATCACATTGTCCAAAAATTACATGTTTCACTGTAAGAAGCATTAAATTTCAACACAACATTTGGCATTGGCATACCTTTTTCTCTGTTTGACAGTCACTAGTAGACATGCAAACTGCAAAGTGTAAACAATGCCATTTTTAACAAATTGCGCCGTTTTCATTTCCAAGACTGCAAGGCAGCATCTATGCCCCAGAAATATTTATTAAGATGAAGTTGGCGATGACTTTTGATCAACTTATGAAATGGAACTAGGTAAGTCATTCAAATGAATGGTTTCTTAAAATGAGAACTGGACAGGGCAGGATTCCCCATTAGGCAGAGTAAGCCCCTGTTTTCAGCACTTATAAAGTACTTTTTGGGCTGGTGGTGAGAGAAGTACCAGGAGCTTTGGCCAATGTCCCTATTAGCAGAGCTGTAGTACCAGTTATGGAAAGTGTAAAACTCATTGCTGCCCCGGCTCCTCTAGTGTCTGTGCGTGAGGATGGACAGGAAGTGGATGGAATCACTTCCCATCTGCCCAACAGCCTCTCACACATGATGCACAATGAATGACACCTACTGCAGCTCTAATATCAATCATAGGAGGCTGACTGGACAACAGAAGACATAAGATTCCTTAGTTTCAAATCTAAGCACTAAAAGCCTAAACATGGGGGAAACACTTTACCCTAATCCTAGGTTTAACTCATCATAAAAACTAAACATCCCATGTAGGGAAATTTTTTATTTTACCCAACTCTTATCCTAAACTTAAACACCATATTAACCTAAAAACAAAATTTCATTTCACTTTATCCCTAAACACAAGACTCCTAAACACCCTTTGTAACACAACTGTCACCCATCTCAAGCTTTTAATTCTCTTAACTAAACATCCTATGCAATCTAACGCTAATGTTAATCCCTCTCAAACCTTAAACCTCCCTTCACCATAACCACTTCTAACATCTGTAACCCTGTATATATTCACACAGTTGTAAACACTTCACTATACTTATAGATTCAAGCACAGTACATTACAAGCAGATGTTTTTATGTCTGCAAACTCCATTTAATAAACTAATTGAACATACTTTATCTGCCTTTTGCGTATAAGGGACCTCCTTGGAATTCTGTGCCTGCAGACACCTAACATGTAAATCCGTCTCGGAACTGAGTGTTAAAACAGCTAAGGTAGAAATGGTTCCCCTAATCTCTTACCTGATGTGTGCTGTAATGTTGGCTTATGAAACTAATTGTTGGTCTGTCAAATAAAACCTTTATTTTTATGATGCATTGTGCTTTAAAATAATTATAAAACAATCAAAGCAGTTTTGAGACCTATTCTACATATATTAGTTCTTAAAGTGGCTCTGTCACCTCAAACTTACCTTCCTCCAATTGTTTTCTATTCTCTGCCTTTTTCAAAATCTGTTCTTCATCTCAGATGTATTTCACCTTAAAACATAAGACAAAGTGGGGACTACTTTGTCTTATGTATTTTCCCTGCACTTGATAAATATTACAAAGGGTGGAGCGTAAGGCAAGCTTCACCCGTTGTGAGCTACACAAAGGAAGTGAAGCCCGCCTTAAGCTCCACTCTTTTATCACAATTGTCAAGTGTAGGAATAAAACAGAAAAATTGTTTGGTTTTTTAAAAAAAATTTTATTTCACTAAACCTGTTACAGGTGTTACAGAACATACAGAAGCAAGCCAAGAGCGTCTTGGGCTGGGTGACAGGACTTGTTGTCAAACCTATTTGGCTTTGAGGTGGTGCTGATAACAAACAGGGGGCTGCGTGCTTTTAACCACTTGTCCCTAAGTGTGTCAACCATCCCCCCCCCATCGAGACCCCGAGAGACCACCAGCCAAGGCTCCTTTGTGAGCTTAGAGCCGTGACCTTTGCTGGAGTCCGTCGGAGAGGCAACCAGAGCTTAGGAGCCTGCCCCAGCACATGCCGAGACTGTCTTCTCACTAGCGTCTCTCCTCTCTAACAGGAAGTGTTTCTTTAAAATGCTTCATGTTTGAGTAGTCAAGAGTGCAACAGCCCCAGAACACAGTGAAGCTGGTACTCTGCATATAATATTTATATAAACACAAGCAGATCATTTTACATATTGACCGTCAAATTGCGCCACTGTATAGCATGGGTGATTCTCAACATTAGCTAGGGTAACCATTGTGGACATTGTAACGAAGAGTTTGACCCCACCCGGCAGTCTTCCATTGCAGGGAAAAGAAATACCGAACAGTGTAATTCAGTTTTTTAACCATATAGAAATAACAATACAAATAGAAATATTTTAAAAAAATATAAAAACCTCAGCCGCAGTTGAAGTTGTAGCGTTTAGATTCGTCTGTTAAGTATGGGCACGTCTGCCCTTCGGGGCCCATTTCCCCAGCGCAAGTGACATTAAGTGAGACTGACATCCACCCCGTCCTACTTTGCCTTATGTTTAAAAGAGAAATAGAGAAATAGATCAGAATTTTGGAAAAATAGAACAGATTCTAAAAGAGGAAGATAACATGAAACAATAGGAGAAAAGTAAGTTTGAGGTGACATTTAACCCCTTAAGGACACATGACATGTGTGACATGTCATGATTCCCTTTTATTCCAGAAGTTTGGTCCTTAAGGGGTTAAAGGCATTTCTTGCACCTCAGGTATAAACTATGCACACTTTAAACAAACTGTACAAAACAATATACAAGCACAACTACATTATGGGTTGGGAAAATGTCCCTCACCCTTTTTGTATACATTTTGCTTCATTGAAACCTTCACATATAGTTTGATGAATTACATCTAATGCTAGATACTTGTAAATGCTGAAATTTTTATTTTCTGCAAAGTTGAAGATTGGATGATTTAATATCAGGACAAAGATACAAGTATTTTCATAAAAACTAATTATATGTCTAATCAGCTATGTTAGTTTCTATTTTAGTCTTTAATTAATTACAATTTACATTTTAAGAAAAAAAACAGCATGTTAGAAAAGTGAGACAGGGGGCGGAGCCAGCCTGCCTGCCGCACTGTTCAGTCGCATATCCTGAGAGCTCCTCTGGGAAACCCTAAATAATTGGTTTATTTCACGACTTATTGTCAGAAATTAGGGTTACTAGCAATGTACCTGGGCGAGAGAACCCCACAGTGATCGATATCACCGAATAACAGATCGAAATTGTCAGCTTCTGCGGAGGGAAGACGTGCGGCCTACAAGAGGCCTACTCACAGTCGGTGGTAGGGAGGTGGCTGATACCTCCACCTGCTGCATACCAACACTTACTAGGTCTCCCTTCAGCACTACCCCCCCACTGGTGAGGGTTATCCCGGTACTCACTAGCTGTGTGGCGGTGACTACTTACCAACAACAACTCCACGGGCTGCAACCACCTTGTCTCATACACTATGGCAGATGCCACGTGCAACCTTGAGCCTCGAGCCCTGACACACTCCATCCTGGATCGCTTAAGTGAACTGTTCACTGAGCTCTGGTCTCGAATACCTTGCCGTCTAGGAGCTTCTATGGAGGTTTCGCAGGCACCTGCCTTACCTTCTACCACCCAGCAAACCAAGGGTGATGATACCCACAAGAGGGCACCAAATACCAAATCTGCTTGTACCCAAGAGGCGAAGGCAGCGGACACTGCGATATCATTGGTGGAGGAGTGATGGGAGCTGGAATTCTATCCGTTCCTGCCATGGAGTTCAGGGGCCTTATACACGCCAGGCACCTTTGCAATGCTTGCCAAAGATGCTGCCACAATCACCTCTGAGTCCATCCTCACTCTCACTGAAAGCTGAAATTTTCTTCCTGCTCAAGTTCCAGTACACCCGGAGGGCATAGGCTGACAAGGGGTGGCCTACTTGGCTTGTTTACCTGGTACCCTCTCACTGCACCCTTATTCCGATGCAATATTGTCATCGCTATCACCCACTTGCACACAGCTTATATTGTCTTTATTGCTAGCAGGCATTACATATATGTGTGATTTACTCTACTCCACAATTACTACCATGCTAGGTTTTATTTGTTATATAGCAACTTATATAACTGTTAACTTAAAAATTGTGCAGTCCTTCAGGCATTTATTGTGACCTTTTGCTGACACACTTTAATAATGCAATCAGCTGAAATGTCTTCATAATGTGATATTTGCACTGCACTACAAAATAAGGAATAATAAAAAAATAAAAAGAGAGACAGATCTTAAAGGGAGAGTGACACTTCTCTGAAATTTACATACTTAAATAAAACATTGTCAACTATTAACTTATGTTAACTTTTTTTTCTGAAATGATCAATTTCCTTTAAAATTCAAAAGGTTATTCCAAGCACCATGGCCACTTCAGTGATTGAAGCACTATGCAAATGAAGTTTAACCTTTCTTCTGCCAGAGGTGTAACTCCACCACCGACACTGTCTTTGGGATGTTTTCTGTTGGCTTAGTGACTTTCATTGCATGACTGTCAGTAACTGCCTGAGAGCAGTCAACAGACACAAAAGCTGTCAGCATGTCACTGGACCACCAGGGAGCATCAGTGCCTTGTGGGGACCTTGATAAGGATGCAAATCATTTCCGGGGTATCTGGCATCATAACTGCTACAGTGGACTGCAGTGGTTATGATTGCTGGAGTAATCCTTTTAAGATTTAGTCACAATACATTTCACAATTCATTTCACACAAGGCAAAGTTAGGTGAAATATTTAAAGGGACACTAGACTCACCAGAATAACTACAGCATAATGTAGTTCTGGTGAGTATAGTCAGTCCATGCAGATGTTTTTCTGTGAACACTAAATTTTTAGAGAAAAGGCAGTGTTTACATTACGGTTTAGGAACACCTCCAGTGACTCGGATGAACTCTAGTGGTGCTTCCTGGGGCAGTGCTGCACAGTGAGCAGCCCTGATGTTTAGTATCTCCACGCTCTGCATGGAGATTCAGAACTTTCCTCATAGAGATGCATTGATTCAATGCACCTTTTTGAGGATATGCTGATTGTCCAGGATGGCGTTTTCCCTAACCTCCCCCCCACCTCCTTAGCTGAGATTAACAAAACTATGGATCTCAGCCAATCCAATGTTTTTCGATGGGATTGAGATTAGATCATCAAATCTGGTGATCTCAGCCAAGGAGACAGATCGAGGGTGGGGCCAACACCGGCAAACCCGCATGGCACTGGAATGGCGTTTTGCTGTGCCTCCCAGCCCACCTCCTTGGCTGAGATTATCAAAATTGAAGATCTCAGCCAATCCAATGCTTTCTTATGGAATTGAGCTTGAGATCATCAAATCTGATTATCTCAGCCAAGGAGACAGATCGGGTGTGGAGCCAACACGGGCGAACGCGTGTGGCGCAGGAATAAATGTGAGTAAACTCACCTTTTACATTAGAGACAGGGGACCTGAGGGACTACATAGTTATATTATATTACAGCTATAGTGACAGGAATACATGTTATATAGTGTTCTTTTAAAATAAGAAGTATTGTTTGTTTTTTCTCTTCTCTATATATTTCTGTAATGACTGCAAGATTCGTACGACGGAGCTTATAACAATTGTTGATAGGGAGCTAACATGGACGTGCCCAGTTTTAGGATAAAGAGGTGTGGATCTCTATATTTAATTTTACTTTTATCATCTCACAAATACATAATTTTTTAAAATACAGGAAAGAGTAAGCATAATATTAAAAATGAAATAAGGTGTATTCAGATCACCTCAAACTCACCTTTCTTCTATTGTTTATTCTTCTGTTACTCTTTCTGATCACGTTCTCTGTAAAGCATAAGATAAAGAAGTGTCACGGTAGTTTAACCCTACACGCAAGATTTAGTTCAACAATCGACAGATAGAGCAAATACGACTTACCGGACCTTAGAATGGCCGGACTCGCCGTATAGCAGAGAATAGACAGAGTCAAGAACAAGCCGAGGTCAAGGGAACAAAGAGACAGCGAGAACAAAAACTAGCCAAGGTCTGGTACACAGTAGTCAGTAAGCCGGTAAACAAGACAAAACAGGGATAGAGAGATAAACGGAGTCAGATACAAAGCCAAGGTCAAGCACGAAAATCACAACTGAACACAACAAGCAGGGAGTTAAGGGAGAGGTAAGTATAAATACCGTAAACTTTACTTTGATTGGCCCCTGTCATATCCACGCCCCCAAAATGTGAGTGTCTGGGGAATGTGGGATGATAGGTGCCAATAGGAGCACATTTCATGTTTTGGCTCCCACTGCCCCTTTAAGAGCGTGCACGAGACGCGCGGCACGCTCTTAGAGCTAGGCGGAACACATGACCGCATCTCGCGGTCCGTGCCTGCCTGCATTTGGGAGCTGCGCGCGGCGGGAAGTGAGGACCTCGGCCGGCCCCCGGGTAAGGTAAGTACCGCTACAAGAAGGGACTCTTGTGTATTTTTCCTACACTTGGCAATCTTGACAAAGGGTGGAGCTTGAGTCAAGCTTCAACCTTTGCTAGCTTGACAAAGGAAGTGGAGCTTACCTTAAGCTCCACCCTTTTGCCACATTTATCAAGGGTAGGAAAAATACATAAGACAAAGTAGTCTCCACTTTATCTTGTGTTTTACAGAGAAATAGATCAGAGATGAAGAATAGAAAAAAGAGATTCTGAAAGAGGAAGAGAAGAGGAAACAAACTAAAAAAAGTTAGTTTGAGGTGACAGAGCCACTTTAAAATGAAACTATAGTGTTTTCCAAGCATTATAGTGACCTGCAATGCCCCCCTCACCCCACCCATGGCTCTGGCACTTACCTGATTCCACCCTCCGCTCCTCCTGCGCTGACGGCAATGGGGGGGACCTAATGTGCATTAGGACTACCATATAAGGAAGCATTGCTCAATGCTTTCCTATGGGGTTTTAGATTATGCTGGATGTCTCATGCAGACAGTGTCCAGCGTCAGTTAGGTGATCAAAAGTTGCCTAACCAACTGGAAATGTCTCTAACGGTTATCTGAAGTGGAGTTAACAGTGCAAGGTAATCATTGCAGTTTTTTTAATAACTGCAATAATTGCAATTGCAGGGTTAAAGGGACAGTTACAGTGCACCAAGGCCACGTACATGAGCTGAAGTGGTCTGGGTGGCTATATTATCCCTTTAATGTTAAGATAGCTTTCAATGAATACTTCTATAAAGGCATTATAGACAAAGTAAATTCAATCTCAAACCACATTAGAATACTGAGAAACTTTTGTCAAGTAGTCTTTTTTTATTTTTTGTTATTTCATGATTAAATTGTTGTGTCATGATCTTTGCAATCGTGATGTAAACTCCATAAGGTCATTTTAGAATGAGGAGAAGATAGCCCACCCCATACAATTGCCCTTTTTATTTTGTATTCAGTTCTGTACGTTTTTAGAGTCTGTGATTTCTAACCCTTCCTCCTTCAGTTTGTAGAGAAATCATCTGTGTGGTCCCCTTTGCTTTAGCACAGACCAACTCCACTCCAACACCCTTAATATATCATTTAATCATAATTTCAAATATCAGAAGCACTGGGTTAGAATAATGCTTCCTTCACAAATGTTGAATCTATGCTTCATTTCTATGTTTTTGTAGTAAGTAAAAGTAGCTTGGGGTATCTTACCATGTTAGAGTTTACCTTACTTCATTTATTCGGGTATGCTAGGCTCTGGTAAGTAATAAATATATTACCCATACTAACTCATGGTTTTGCTTACTGCAAAAAAATGGAATATAGCTACTATAAGGGTTATTCACTAAAGCGAGAATTCAAGGAGAATTTTAAATTCAAGGTAAAAATACCAAAACTGTAAACATTCATACAAGTTAGCTATGCCGCCAGTTTGGTCACTACGGCCTTAAAGTTGAATGTCGCTTTGAATTCTAACTCTAGTAAATAATACTGTGCATTTTTTTGTTTGTGTTTTTAAGCATTGAAAGGTTTGTTTCAGAATTCTTAAAATTCTGTGTTAATGAAATCCTTGTGTCTCTGTGAACTAACACACATAACATCTTGGCAAAAAATATGATTTGATACGTTAATAGGAGATGTAACTTCATTTTTATGATTAACACATCCTCGTTCTTGTTTCAGGCTAAAAATCCGAAACAATGGGTGACTGGAGTTTTTTGGGAAGACTATTAGAAAATGCACAAGAACACTCCACAGTCATTGGCAAAGTTTGGTTGACAGTTCTCTTCATCTTCCGTATCTTGGTATTAGGAGCTGCAGCTGAAGAGGTTTGGGGAGATGAACAGTCTGACTTTACTTGCAACACCCAGCAACCAGGTTGCGAAAATGTGTGCTATGATAAAGCCTTCCCCATTTCACACATTAGGTTCTGGGTGCTCCAAATTATTTTTGTGTCCACTCCCACCCTCATCTACTTGGGCCATGTCCTGCATATTGTGCGAATGGAAGAAAAGAAAAAAGAGAAAGAAGAAGAACTGAAGAAATGTATTAAAGGTAATGATGAGAAGGAACTTCTACTCAGAAAAGGAGTGGAGAAGAAGGAAAAGCCCCCCATAAGAGATGAAAGGGGGAAAATCAGGATAGGTGGTGCCCTCCTTCGCACTTATGTCTTCAACATCATTTTCAAAACTCTTTTTGAGATTGGCTTTATTGTAGGACAGTATTTTCTGTATGGTTTTGAGCTAAAGCCCCTGTACAGGTGCAATCGTTGGCCTTGTCCCAACACTGTGGACTGCTTCATTTCAAGGCCGACTGAAAAGACCATTTTTATCATATTTATGCTTGTAGTGGCTTGCGTGTCTCTTTTGCTGAATATGTTAGAGATATATCACTTGGGGTGGAAGAAGCTCAAACAGGGCATGACTAACAGGTACATCCCTGACCCGTCATGCAATAAAGCAGAGCCTCCTGGTCTGCTGCCACGAACTGCACCACCCAACATGACTTTCCCGCCTTACTACACTGATGCAGCTGCTGCTCCACCGATCATGCAACATGGATATGCCAGATCCTCTCTCACTGAATTCAAGATGCCATCACTAGCAGAGGAACCTCTAGAGCCATCCTACTTTGGAAGGCCTCATGACCACAGCTCATTAGCAGCGGATCAGAACTGGGCCAATCTAGCAGTGGAGCGTGAACGGAAACCCGGTTCAAGCAGTGCTAGTGCATGCAGTGCCAGCACGTCTGCCCCAAGCAGTGTGAGAAATGAGGGGGGAGGGGAAGAAGAGGCAACAGGTTTGGCAGGGACCGGAAGTCGCACCAGGGCAGATGTTGAAGACAGGCCAGCAACCACGACAGTGGAAATGCATCAGCCACCTGTGCTGATAGATACGAGAAGGCTCAGTAGAGCCAGCAAGTCCAGCAGTAGCAGAGCAAGGTCAGATGACTTAGCTGTCTAGCAGTGAAGCAGGGCACAATAAAGAAATAAGTCTCTAAGTCAGCGCAGAGTTCGCTGTTTATGCAATAAATTAAAAATCAAAAGATATCACACTCCTTTGGCCCATTGAGTGCCAGTAAGACCTGTTTCATACGTATCTGGCACTGAATGGGTTTAAATGAGTCATTAACAAATATCCTATGAGTCTACTCATAAGAGTGGCAGTATGATGGAGATGGAGAGGAAGGATACTGTTATTTTAGTCTCGGAATTCCAAGCTTGCTGTTACTGCACACTGTGAGTTGTAGTGAGCAATGTGTCCTTTTTTAGTTTTTAAATGAATTGAGATTTTCTGAGTGGATGGTGTATGTTTCACACTTTTGAACTTCTTTGAAGCAATTCATTTAGTACCAAAAATACATACAAGGAAGATCATATTTCAACAGAGTCCCTAATAACAGCACTTTCATGGTATCAAGGAGGAAACAACAAAAGAACGGAAGACAATCCAGAGATAGCTACGTATTAAATCAAAGAGCCCTGAACAGCTGAAGTGATCTACATATTATGATTTTGTATCAAGCCGACTTGAGGCAGTCATTTACAATTGGTCTTTAGCACTATTATTTCCCTTCTAAAATATAAATACTGCTTAACAAGGCTTTGATACAAAGGCAAAATATTCAGGAAAGGTTAAATATGGTTTAATTGTTAGCCGGATAACTTGTCCCCATACAAACTAACAACTAGCTATAATGTATTTTCTTTAAATAATACCTATTGTCATTCATGTTGTCACTTATTTGTGTACAATTGGTGTCACGGCACATTCATATATACAATAAACTGATGAAATAAGACAATTAGACATATGACAATATTCACAATGTATACACACAAGTCAGAGGTGTATTGTGAGCATTTAATGTTCAATTATAAAAATGCTTTAGCAGATTATGTCTGTTTCTTCAGTAAGTAAAATTAAGCATATTCCATTTTATTTTATGGTATATTCAGAAAAAAGGACAATGTAAAACATTCTACAGGAATTATCCCTGAAAATATTTCTCTTACATTGATTGATAATTCTCTATGTTGGCAGAGGAGGAGATGGAATGAAACTGCTACAGGATCACCTTACCACATTTAGTAGTTTATCCAATAAAATGTGACTTGTGGTGGTTTTACGATTGATTTCCAAATTGTAGGCTATAATAGCCGTGTTGGAAAAATAGCAGAGTCTGTGAAATGTTCTAATTCAACATTTTTACAATTTCATTTTTTTTTTTTTTTTTTTTTTTTATAAAATCTTCTCAAATGGTTATAAAGAGCACCATTTAATAACAGACGATTTATGTTGAATGAACGAAACTCATTTAGGGTTTATAATCACACATTCACACAGTATAAAATAAACCACATTTTTCAGCGTTGGCCCACAAAATTATTCTGAATATTTAATTTAAAAATACAGTGCTGATAGCACAGTTAACCGATATTTCGTTGTAATTACAACTATATACTTAGTCATCAAGAGGTGAAATAAAATGACATATTAGTGTAGTATTATCTGTTTAGAGCAACTGTAGGCTAACACGTGCTAAGTTCAACTTATAGACATATTTGTTTATGCTAAAAAAAGGACACTTTATTATATGTCTTCACTTTTCCTCCAGATACTGTGTTGTATGTAAGAAATATCCAACTGCTGTTTTTTTATTTGTTGTTCAAAGAAAAATGTTGATAAATAATCGGAAAAGATCAGTCCAATTGTCATTTTTCATTAATGGTCTTCAAGGGCACTTTTTAAGATTATATTTGAACATCTTAAATTATAGAGTAGTAACAAATGGAAGCAAAGCAAACCCTTATGATTAAAGATCTACTTGAATTTCATCTTAATTAATCTTCATCTTTACAACATAAGTCCCTTTGTTGAAATACTGAAAAGACGTAAATGAAAGAAAAAATTAATTTATATTTTTGAAACAGTGTCCAAATTGTGATAAGATCACCTAAAATTAATTAAGACCAGCAAGGCAAGAAATAGCAAGGCCAGAAATAATACATAATTATTTGTTAAAAATCTTAAGCACGCTATCTACATAAATCACATAATTGGGATGGTTACATTTTATTTAAAAAAAACTATTTGCTCAATTTGACTTTAATAGGTGATTTAAAAAAGGGAAAAAAACAACCACAATTAAATACTATGTTAGTATAAAACCTACAACTCACGGCCTGCATTGTAACATTTGTTAATTTTACTGTAACAGCAACATTTTATATTTTTTAGACTTAATCCTTCAGTGGTTCTATTTTTTATTTTATATTTTATAAGCTACAATTTAAGTTAAAATGTTGCAGCTTAATTACAAAATTGTGTTTGACTTTCCATAATTTCTACGTACATAGTTTGAGATAATACCTTTCATATCTGGAAGACCTCTTTTAGTTCACATATTTTAACACTCTACTTTTCATTGTAATGCAGACAAGCCCTTTTAGTAGAGACGTAAATATGGCTTCCTATAGTACATATAAAATGATTAATAAAAATTTAAAAAGTACGACTGTTTAGGCCCTTTTATTGATTCGTTACATACTAAAATATAAAGATATCTAACATTTTATTCGTAACAAACTGTATGTTCTCTTTAAAAGAAAAGAAACACAACATAGTAAATATCTCGCAACACTTTATCTTTTTGCAAGAAAGATTTTTGCCATTGGACAGAAATTCTTCTAATGTTTTCAGGTCAAATGTCTATAGGTAAGGATCTGAACATGGTAAGAGGTGATTCTGATAGTGTGAACTATTTGATGATTGCTACCTAATTAGGTATCTTGAACAAAATATTGAATTGTTTTCAAACTTCAAAATATAGAAAGTGTTGCACTTTGAAAAATACCAGTAAGGCAGTATTTTTATGTCCCCAACACTTTATAGCTCAGTTCACTGAGCAAAAGTAACCATTTAGATATTTAAAAAAAAAAAAAAAATGTATTTATCATTACATTTTTTGTTAATATTTCATTGCATAAAATACTAATGTTAGAAGAAAAGATTTGCTTCCAGCTCCATGAAGTGGATATATCGAACGAAAATAAATAAATAAAAACAGGGCTGCAGAACATTAAAAAAAAAAAAAAGTTGTTTTGTTGAAACCAGGGTTTGTAATTTTTGAGTCAATGATCACAATTTTTAACAATTTGTGCTTTTGCTTTTTTAGTAGTAATTCACTTAGATTATATAGGACATTCAGGCAAAATACTTGCTAGGGGATAGTAGATTGCTGTTAGATGCAGCAATAGCTAATGCACTTTCGTAAATAATATGTTTCACTAATTTGAAACAGTACACAATCATCTATTTTTCTTGAATCTCATGGTGGATATTCATATATGACATCATCATAAGAATGAAGGCCAAAATAAAATATAAAATAAAATAAATAAATAAATTTTAAAAAATAGAACTAATTTTACTTTGTTAGATTTCCAACCAAACAGAAAATAAAGTAAATGTACAATTGAAAAAAAATAATAATAATACAATTAAGCAATTTTTTTTTTTTTACTCAAAGGCTGCATAATTTATTCCTCAAGTGTTACACTGTCTTTTCAGGATAACACCTTAATACATTACGCAGTGATACACAATTTTAATTGATTTAATGCATGTTAAATAGACACATCTTGAAAGTTTGGTTGTTGACGTGAAAGATATAGTCAGACACTCATTATTTACATCTTAGACTTCCTTTTTCAATTTGTCGAATCCTAAAAGGAGAATTTATTTTTGCAATGTCCATTTTTTATTTGCACCATTTTTTTTTCTTGTGAAATGTGTGCGATATATTTGTAACTTTGGTTTCTTGAAGTTTACATTAATTTATTTGGCTTTATTAATTGCACATTTGGACAATATACTGTCATTTTGAAGGTTACATTTGCTATCAAAAATATTTCCCATAAATTTGTTAATCCTCAAAATCAATGGTTTTAAGAAAACACACAAGCTCTTCAGACTTAAGGCACTAAATTTAAAGCAAATCTTTTAATTCTTGGGACACAACTGGTGTGTCATTATTCCCCTAGCAGTAGGTCATTAGAATATATAATAACCCTATTTCTCTATACATTTTCATTATTTTAGTGTCACATGTCAAAGATTGCATAAAGTGTCATAGGGATCTAAAATAAACAGAATGCAATTGTTGGTTCATTGGTTTGAATCTTTCGATTTACAAGATCCGAGCATCTATTAGTCATTTATTGACACACAAAATATGATTCTCTAAATCCTATGGTAATAGGCGTAGTTCCCTTGTGTTCTTGATAATTCCAGGATAGAATCCTATGAAAATGAACAAGAAAGTGGTTACTGGGGAGTTAAACTTTTTGATGTGGATGGACGGAATAAGTTTGTTTATAGTCAAGGATACAAACCAGAGAGAATTTTTCCAGAAACATTAAACAAAAATAGAAAATCTGGTCAAAGAAAAAAAAGAACATGGAAAAAAAAAATGTGGAAAATTAAATACAAACCAATATCGAGATCACACGCATAAATTGAGTATTTATTTGTAAATTATTTGTTAGATAGCAGTCTCCAAAATACGACCCATTAAACCATATTATTGCTTACAGTTTACTTTGGTCTTCTCTTGTTTAAACTGTACTATCTGCAATTTATGAATGAAAGACCAAGTAAAAAAAGCACTTTATTAATTGTGAATCTTTCTAAAAGCTCCTCTAAGCAAAGATCAGGCTTGCATTTTTTTCCTTCTTGATGAAACTGGTGGCAGATATGTAGCATTTGCCCAATTTAAAAAAGTATAATAATTGATAAACACTCTTAGCTTTTTCTTACCAAATGTTTTTCAACTCCCAGTAAGAGTCAAAAGCAATCTCCCTTGAAAGTAAATCAAATGTCAATTGTTAAAATCCATTCCATCTCGATGTAATATGATAGAGTTAAAACATTTTTCAAAGACATCAGTTAAGCCCTGACATGTCCTTGAGTTAACGATGATAGTCATTTGGGCAATCTGAGGAACCATACTTTAGATATGACATATATCCCTTTACAGAGCTGGGCTGTTCGATAATGGATCTTGGGAGTGTGATCTGGCTAACTGAAGAGACAAATATTCAAACATTTTAAGACTGTGTTTTAGAGATTCTTCTCTGGATTGTTATTATAAACAACGAAAAACACGAATTTTGGATACGTTTACCAAAAAGGTGAATTAGCATTTAGAAGTGTGACCGGTGTATACCAGTTGGACTTTTAGTGTTACTTTTTTGTTGACATGGTTATTCCTTTAAGCCAGCATAATTGCTATTCATCAGGCATACTGGTAGTTGAATAGTGATTTGATAGTTTGTCCATTTTAGATCAGTTCATATAAACCTAACCAAAAAAACTATTTGCTATCTTTCCAGTAAACATGAAAACAGCATGCAACGATTATATATATATATATAAGTTGGAGCCAATGCCATGGCTATTTTCCCAGTAGGCATGTTGGCAAACAAGGAATCTAAAATTGACTACCAAATTTATATACCAGATTAAAAATTGTTGGATTTAGGGTTTATGAAAGATTTGGGTGAGGAACCACCAGAACAAGCCTCTAGATCAGGAGTAGGCAATCATTGACACTCCTGATGTTGTAAACTACATTTCCAACTACGCTTTGTTAGCAGTATGGCTGTAAGAGATGTAGTCCACAGCATCTGAGTGCCAAAGATTGTCTACCCCTGCACTAGATGTTCACTCAACAGATATTAATACAAGATGTATTTATATTTTTGCAGGATTATATTTTACAAACGCTGGCACTGGTCTTTCGCAAAGGCTTTTGTGAGAGTTACAAATGTTCTTTTATGCAATAGCATTCTTCCAACAAACTGCATTTTGCAAATGTAAACATTATTCAAAATACAATGTAATCAGCGATTGACAGAATACTTTTTGAAATATAAGGATTTTTTTGTCTAGTAATGTTAAATTTAGTATGAGATTTCACCACATCTAGATCACTCAGATAAATTATTTTAAGACTATATCTTGATTTTAAGAATGAAAAGTTTGTCTTGCAGCTGATAACCTACACTGAGGTTTCTTGTTGCCTAAAAGGATATATGTCTTTTTCTCTACCAAACCTCATCACAAAAGGATTTTATTTTTTTTGGCAGTCAGGGACTTGTAATTACAATAAAAGAAGAAAAATGTTTAAAATGCTGTCTTTAAAGAAGTGCCTTGTGTAATAAATTCTGTAAGGACAAGTTGATGTAAATGTTAATTTACCTCAAATGTTTACAAACCTGTTACTAAATAAACTTTTTGTACCATACCTTTGTCTTGGAGATTATCTTTATAGAGTCAAAATTGTATATTTATATGAAATGTATCCATTACGTCAAAGGATGGTGTCATAAACAGTACAATACAATCATATTCAGATCTTATTACTGTTTGACACTACTAATCATGGGGTACCGATACAGCTCTTGGGAGGTCCAGGCTGGGGCAAGATGACCTGCTCATCATTGATTGTCTCGTTCCTCCAAGGAAGGCCATGACATTATGTTCCATTTGCAGTCACAGTCTTCTAAAGCAGTGGTTCCCAACCCAGTCCTCAAGTACCCCCTAACGGTCCAGGATTTAGGGATTACTCAGTTGTGTCTAAGGTTTTTTTTTTGGGAAAAAAAACACTTTAGACACAAAAACACTTTTGGATCAACAGCAAAGAACAAATGTGAGGAAGACTGAACTTGATGGATACAAGTCTATTTTCAGCTATGTAACTATTTAAAAGGGAAATCCCTAAATTCTGGACTGGTAGGTGGTACTTGAGGACTGGGCTGGGAACCCAGTATTTGTACTAGCATTATTATTACTCAATATAAATGTCTGGTCACTGGGAAATATTGTCAGCAAGAATAGCTTTCACCAATATGCACACTCAGAACTATGTTTGTTTTTGCAGGCTTACTTATTTTTCTTTCACTGACTCCCATAAAACTTTTTCAGCTCACTCAAGTGGTTATGAGGGCAAGAGTGTCCAGGTGCTCCAATGGTTTAACCCCGTTGCTGGTGTGTCTGGTGCTGCAGTACCATATTCCGGGGTTAATCCATTGTAAAACAGTTTATCTCCTGATGGTAAGACGTGCACAGACACTCCTGCCACCGTAACAACTTCAAACAGCTGAAGCTGTTATGGGGATGGAGGTATTTCTCTAACAGGTTCTTCAAGCAGCGATCATCCTTCGACTTAATAAACTGTAATCACTGCTTTAATAAAAAATTAGCCTGGTCAGACAGCATACAAACTATAGCAAACACTTGGTCCAAAATATTAGTATTGCACACTTATAAATTACTACACCATATAAATATATTCACTAGAATGACTACATGTCAAATAAAAAGCCTGGAAACACCTTAAAGCAAACCTGTTGTAATTTAAACATTCTTTAAACCTATTCTTTCTGTTGTCTAATAAAGTACTTCACTTACTTTCTATGGATCTTCATCAGGTTTACAGGCATACTCACCTTGTAATGGATCCATCACCGCCATTAGCCTGCCTTAGTGGGCGCGATTCCTTTGTACTGCCTCTGTTTGGGACGCCTGCCATGGCTTCCCCACATCTGACACAGTTTCCTATGATGAAGTTGATGTGCTGGCTTCACTGGCTGGAGGTGTGTACTAAGGCAGACAGACATCGGCATAGAGTAGTCTATACCGACAGTCTATCTGCCCAAAGGGCAGGGGAACATTATTATTATTATTATCGCCATTTATATAGCGCCAACAGATTCTGTAGCGCTTTACAATATTATGAGAGGGGATTTAACTATAAATAGGACAATTACAAAAAACTTACAGGCACGATACGTTGGAGAGGACCCTGCTCAAACGATTTTACATTCTATAATTATAAATTTACCCCCGATTTTTACAGAAAACTACGCTTTGCTAGCGATTTGGCTAGCACAATGTAGACATGAAATCTTAAGAGGAATTCATATTTGATAGGTATAAAATGGCATGACAGGTACCCTTTTTCTAGAAATACCTGATATTTAACCAGGCAAACATCGCTTTCCATAGTATATATACAGTCAGGTCCATAAATATTGGGACATCGACACAATTCTAATCTTTTTGGCTCTATACACCAACACAATGGATGTGACAAGATGTGCTTTAACTGCAGACTTTCAGCTTTAATTTGAGGGTATTTACATTCATATCAGGTAAACGGTGTAGGAATTACAACAGTTTGTATATGTGCCTCCCACTTTGATAGACAGGCACACACTATTACTCGGGGACACACCGACAGACTCACACTCACTGACAGACACACGCACTGACAGACCAACACACACACACATATTCACTCACAGACACACATACTTACAGACACAGATACTTATACAAACATATATAAACATATAGAAACATATAAACATATAGAAACATAGAAACATAGAATGTGACGGCAGATAAGAACCATTCGGCCCATCTAGTCTGCCCAATTTTCTAAATACTTTAATTAGTCCCTGGCCTTATCTTATAGTTAGGATAGCCTTATGCCTATCCCACGCATGCTTAAACTCCTTTACTGTGTTAACCTCTACCACTTCAGCTGGAAGGCTATTCCATGCATCCACTACCCTCTCAGTAAAGTAATACTTCCTGATATTATTTTTAAACCTTTGTCCCTCTAATTTAAGACTATGTCCTCTTGTTGTGGTAGTTTTTCTTCTTTTAAATATAGTCTCCTCCTTTACTGTGTTGATTCCCTTTATATATTTAAATGTTTCTATCATATCCCCCCTGTCTCGTCTTTCCTCCAAGCTACATGTTAAGATCCTTTAACCTTTCCTGGTAAGTTTTATCCTGCAATCCATGAACCAGTTTAGTAGCCCTTCTCTGAACCCTCTCTAAGGTATCAATATCCTTCTGAAGATACTGTCTCCAGTACTGTGTACAATACTCCAAGTGAGGTCTCACCAGTGTTCTGTACAATGGCATGAGCACTTCCCTCTTTCTACTGCTAATACCTCTCCCTATACAACCAATCATTCTGCTAGCATTTCCTGCTGCTCTATTACATTGTCTGCCTACCTTTAAGTCATCAGAAATAATCACCCCTAAATCCCTTTCCTCATATGTTGAGATTAGGACTCTATCAAATATTCTGTACTATGCCCTTGGGTTTTTACGTCCAAGATGCATTATCTTGCACTTATCCACATTAAATATCAGTTGCCACAATTCTGACCATTTTTCTAGTTTACCTAAATCATTTGCCATTTGGCTTATCCCTTCTGGAGCATCAACCCTGTTACATATCTTAGTATCATCAGCAAAAAGACATACCTTACCATCAAGACCTTCTGCAATATCACTTATAAAAATATTAAAGAGAATGGGTCCAAGTACAGATCCCTGAGGTACCCCACTGGCGACAAGTCCAAGCTTCGAATATATTCCATTAACTACAACCCTCTGTTGCCTGTCACTCAGCCACTGCCTTACCCATTCAACAATATTGGAATCCAAACTTAAAGATTGCAGTTTATTGATAAGCCTTCTATGTGCAACAGTGTCAAAAGCCTTACTGAAATCTAGGTAAGCAATGTCTACTGCACCACCCTGATCTATAATTTTAGTTACCCAATCAAAAAAATCAATAAGATTAGTTTGGCACGATCTCCCTGAAGTAAACCCATGTTGTCTCTGATCTTGAAATCCATGTGTTTTTAGAAGTTCAGCAATCCTATCCTTTAACGTGGTTTCCATCACTTTCCTTACTACTGAAGTAAGGCTTACTGGCCTATAGTTGCCGACTCCTCCCTATTACCTTTCTTGTGAATGGGCACAACATTCGCTAACATAGTGTATGCCTCATCTCCACAGGAGAGTAGTATAATGGAAAAGTACATCACAGATTCCCTAAGTAAGGGCCACATATGTAAATCATCTTAGCCTGCTGGTGCAGGGTTCTTTTTTGTATCTAACAAAGATGGTGAATTATGCCCATGCATTGATTACAGAGCATTAAACAAGATCACCATAAAGAATGCCTATCCCATTCCCCTGATCTCCGAATTGTTTGACAGACTCCAGAGTGCTAAGGCCTTTACTAAACTGGACCTCAGGAGTGCATACAATTTGGTAAGGATTAAGGATAATCATGAGTGGAAAACGACATTTAACACTAGGAGTGGACATTATGAGTACCTTGTCATGCCATTCGGGTTATGCAATGCTCCGGCCGTATTTCAGGATTTTATTAACGATGTATTCAGAGACTATATTTAATCATTTGTCCTAGTATACCTGGATGATATACTTGTTTATGCTCCTGACCTTCAGACTCTCCACAAACATGTCAAACAAGTGCTGCAAACCTTGCTTAAAAATGAACTTTATTGCAAACTTGAAAAATGCATCTTTGATCAGACTGAGGTACAGTTCTTGGGATATAATATTTCTGCCCTGGGTTTCAGATGGATCCTGATAAACTAGAGGCTGTTCTACATTGGCCATTGCCCAATGGATTAAAAGTCATCCAAAGATTTATTGGGTTTGCTAATTATTATAGGAGATTTATCAAAGGGTTCTCTTCTGTGATAGCCCTCATCACCAAAATGAAAACGTAAGGGGGCTAGTTGTACAATATGGTCAAAGGAAGCTAGAGAAGCTTTTGAACTTTTAAAACAAAGGTTTGCTTCTGCTGACATATTGATGCATCCTGACACCATCAAACCTTTTATACTGGACGTTGATGCCTCCGAAACAGGGGTGGGGGCTGTCCTATCTCAGAGGAACAGTCAGGATACACCATTGCATCCATGTGGGTACTTTTCAAGAAAGTTGTCCCCGGCCGAGTGTAATTATGATATTGGCAACAGGGAATTGTTGGGCATTATACTAGCGCTTAAAGAATGGCGACACCTTTTAGAGGGTTCCAATGATCCCCTTTTGATCATCACTGATCACAAAAATTTGGCATATATTGGTGATGCTAAACGACTGTCTTCTAGACAGGCCAGATGGTCTTTGTTCTTGTCCCGCTTTAACTTTATTATCACCTACAGACCTGGTCCCAAAAACATTAAAGCTGGTGCCCTCTCTAGACAGTTTGATATTGAATCAGAATGAGAACAAGAAACGTCCCCTAATGTTCTTGCTTCCACTGTTCTCTCCTTGTCATCCCCATTGCTATGTGCTATTATGGCGGCTCAATCCCAGGCACCTTGCAATAAACCTCTGGATAAATTGTTTATTCCATTGTCTAATCGAAAGGAAGTGATGAGGATATTCC